TTTTGTGTGTGTGTGTTTGGCGGGGGGGTGGTCTGTTTCATAATCTCATACGAAATGGAAATGAGAGTAAGTTCGCCCAATCACATCTCCATTCGGTATTATTCAACACGTGTACGTATCGCAGTTTATGTAACAGGTGTTATGACACTACATAAGATGTCATACCTTAACATCTATAAGATACACGAGTGTATACCTGACGAGAGTAGGGCGCATCGCTGAAGCGATTAACTTAAATCCCCATTTATACCACAACACTAACTACACTTTATGACGCTTTGCCTGAGGTATTCGCGATCAGTCTCTTTAGTTCCTAAAGCTATTGAAACATTTTTTTTCATCTGAAAGGTAAATCGCAGTTGAATATTTTCTCACTATATTCTGTTTCCTTGGCCCCGTTATGTAGATTAGGGGGTGTACGTGCATCAATGTCAAGCAGGGCGCCTTTAAGAACAAAACTTGTGTTTTATCAACGGTTCTTTGGATGTGGTGCCAATATCTTGCGCGGAGTTATAAATTATGCCTCCTTCGTGAAACCGTTTATCTACTTTGACCTACAAGGACAGAGATTGGATTTAAAGTTGATAGTACTTCAAGGATTCCTTTATAGCTGATTTGAAGTCACTCCGGTCCATGATGGAACCTTCAAACCACATGATGAAATGGGGTCAAACAGAGGAATTAGGGGTAAGTTATTTCTTTTGATAGCCTACTCCTATTGAAAGCATTTATATGTTTTAACTAATTTACCATGTTAGTATATAACTTTCATGGCAGGGGTATTTCGTATGGCAGGGGTAACGTATTAGGACTATAAATATTATAAACTATGCTTAAATTTTCTGCCATTTTCAAGACAAGCAGTACGTCTAAAGCTATGAGACGAAATGACGTACGTGCTATATATGATGTAAGCAGAATGTCTATATTTGCAGAGTTTTGTTCAGACTCGTGAATACTGAGATATCTTCATATTAAATTTCGACACGATTTTATATTTTCTCCCGCACGACTTGTCGATAAAGCCCACTGTAGTATCGGATGACCAGTGTCTAAGCCATTTAGATGTAATTTGCCGGGTGAACGAAGTAGAGCAAATTAATAGAAAATTAAATGTGCTTTAAATTGATTATCAAAAAAGTTTAGACTTTAATGTTAACTGGAAAATCACTCTGCATTCGCTTCCTATCCTTTCGTCATCAATGAACGACGACATCGTGTGACCAGTTTCTGTGTCTGCCTATTTAAAGCACACATTTAAGCATTGAACTGTTTTCAGTTGGCATTCATAGGCAATATGATGCCAACTGGACAAAGGCAAATTCAATGAAGCGCGCTAGCGTTTCATGTTTGATTGGCTTTTGTCCAGTTGGAATTCATTTTTCCTATGAATGCCAGCTAAAAGCAGTTCAATAGTTATGTTTATCATTTTCGGAATCTGCTCATCTCATAGAAAATTCAATTACATTTGCTATTATTCAACATTTAGTTCAAATAATGTATGTATCGTGTATGCTTGTTCAATGAATAGAACAGCAATCGCCCAGGGTGGTTCATTGGTATCCAACGTAACTATTATGACGTCATAATAATGATGACGTCAACAATCGGTCCATGGCATTCATAGCCTTTATGAATGCCAACTGAATTTGGTAGGGTTATATAGTGGCAATGCCATACGATGGTAAATATTACACAATGTACTAGCCGTGATAATACTACCGTCCAAATAGATGGAAGTGTATCTGGAGAAAATGTTCAAAAAAATATTTTGATGTTTGTACCTCAGTGCTACAATTTTTAATCACAACGAAATGGTTTGCATATGATATATTTACTTTTACTAATAATAAAGAATGAAATTCATAAAAAAATACATAGATGTCATAGATATATATAAGGACACGATACTGTAGAATAATCAGACGACCCAGACCACATGACAGACACAGTTTTGTTAAGCAGACAATGATGAAATGTTTCATATAAAATTAAATCAAAATTTACCTTTTCCGTGTGTATTTTCATAGTTTTATAATCCAATAAAAAGGTAATAGTAGAAAAGTTACGTTTCCACATGTTTTTGAGTAAAATGATGTCAGTTTAAGTGTTTCGCTTCAGTTTCTTCAACATTCTCACAGACGTTTACTTTTTTACTGAAAGCAAAAAGGTTCTGGTATATGCGATCAGCAACGCTGCACATAAGGTCAGGGCACAGAAACAGGTCCTCGTGAATAATGTATACGACGATTAAAAAAATATTAAGAATTGTGAAAAATGTTGGATATTTCGTTTTCAATTCATCATATCGAGAAATCAAATCAAGTGAGATAGACTGTACTAAAAACAACATATAATGCTTTGCTTAGTTCACAATTTTCCGGAATTTTCTCTGATATGGTTTCTATTTTAGATATAGTGTATATTCCAGTTACTTCCCTTAACACATTCCTCAAGATGGACGACGATTTGAGTTTCGAAAATACTACAGCTTCGAAGTCGTCTAGGGTAGGGATGCATAACGTGTTTTAGAAAGAATAAGCATACAGAAATGCGTACAATTGTATAGAGAATTGATATATATGATCGGGGCTGAATTGTATTCTCTTGAAACTAGCTAACTGGCCGTTTACTGTAATGTGGACTGGATTGTTTATATTGACAACCACAACATTGAACAGATCAATACTTGTAGTAGACCTATTGAATGGGTCATTATTCACAAGATACCTATTGAATGATAAGGAAATTAAATTGAATTTATGCATGCTATACTAATATGCATATTTTCCAGTTTTGACCCCTAAATATTGATTTAATTATCACTTCAACAACATCATGGCTCCATCAATGATCCAAGATCGAAATAGCTATGAGGATTCATAAAATCCAAGCAGAAGGACACATGTGCAGTGCCAATCAGATGTACAGATACACAGTGATAGTAAATCCAAAGCCAATGCCCCCAACAAACAGTTCAGCTCGGTATACCAATACATCGATTGGATGACCATTACTTGGTCCTTCACCCTACCCCAGGATGCCAGAAGTCAATATCACAGAGAAGGGAATATACAAGTTGCTTACCCAGTTACAACCTAACAAAGCTCGAGGACCCCATGGTATCCAGACAAGAGTACTAAAAGAGGGAGCACCTCAGTTAGCACCGATATTGTCATTCCTTTTCCAGCAATCCATCAACACCGGACAAGTCCCATCAGACTGGAGGAAAGCCAATGTAGTACCTATATTTAAGAAGGGTGTTTGATCACAACCTGGGAACTACCGGCCGGTATCGCTTACTTCTGTGTGCTGTAAACTGTTGGGGCACATAGTGGTAAGCAGTGTCATGGACCATCTTGACATGCAGGAACACTATCAGACTAACCAGCATGGTTTTGGATGACGCCGGTCTTGTGAGTCACAACTCACCATCACCACCAGTGATCTCGCTTATAGTCTAAACAACAAAGCGGAGGTTGATCTGATTGTATTGGATTTTTCAAAGGCCTTTGACAAAGTCCCTCACCGAAGAGCAGTACGCAAATTACAACACTACAGACTTGACAACAGAGTGGTAGTATGGATCCAAGGCTTCCTGCAGAGTAGAACCCAACAGGTTGTAGTTGACGGTGACGTATCCACAACAGCAGATGTCCTATACTGGGTACCACATGGACAACAATAGGCCCTATCCTGTTCCTACTTTACATCAACGACATTGTTGACAACATAAACATTACCATCCGTATGTTTGCTGACAACTGTCTCCTGTATCGTGAGATCAACAATCAACATGACCAGGAAATATTACAGAAACATCTAGATTCCCTGCATGAATGGTCAGTGAAGTAGCAGATGGCCTTCAACACCAAAACGTGTAGCTCTATGACAGTTACACATGCCAGTAGGGGACCTGCTGGAACAAAACAACGAAAAACCGTACCTCGGGATCACCATCAACAGTAACGTGAGATGGAATACTCACATAGGAAATGTAACATCACAAGCCTGTCGTGTGTTAGGAATGCTAAGGAGAAACCTTACTTCAGCTCCACAGAACATCAAGGAGAAGGCTTACAAGATCATCGTAAGATCGAGGTTGGAATATTGTAGCGCTGTCTGCCTAGTGTTTGGAGCCCCCACACTATAGGCTCCAAACTAGTGTGTGGGGCGTCATATCCTGAACCATGTAGGACGGAATAAGAGCAGCCTCGTACTACTTTATGAAGTGATGAACCATCTAATCACCATCCCAGAATCCTTCCATCCAACCCCATGGCTCACAGCTAGTTGTAACTGTCATCCCAGCTCGCCATATCTACCATCTGTAAATGCTTATAAATACCTGTCCTTCCCAAGAGCAGTATTACTGTAGAACAACCTCTCTCCAGATATGACCGGAGCGCCTACCTTGGATGAATTCAAGGCGAAGTTGTCAACCAAACAGAAGTAGACAGACACTGGTGTACATAGTTTTATTCAATGATTTTTTTTGACACTGTCATTATTTTATAATTAAGTACATGCCGTACATGTGCAATCAGCGTGATATCCAATAGGACGTTGCTAATTACTGACCAGAACCAGAACTTGAAAGTTGAATGTTCTGTAGGCAAACTGTATCATAATATGTTGGAAGATTAGGCTCCGTAGATTAAATAGAGCAAAATTTATTCAACAATGTGTTAAATTACTTCAACCCAAGTGTGTATCATTGATATATTTCAGAGTGCAAAGCAAGGACGTCGAGCTCAGTCTAAGGGTGTGTCGCCACCAGACGCGCCAGCATTTGAAGATGAATCACCAAGATCAACAAAACCACCCAAGAAGTCTTCTGAGGAAACGGTAAACATACTGCATCCACCTCTTATATTTTGGGTTTTGTCAGGTTTAACATCAATTTATAAACTCACTGGATGCCAACCTTTCGTGTCAAGAACCCATTCTTGCAGCATGTACACTGCATTTTGTATACTGTAAAATCAAAAATGTTTGTGGGACATTAAATTTCGTTTACTTTGTGGAAAACAAAAATGCACGAAATTAAATCACCACGAAAACATATATTTGGTATGATATAGATAGGGGGAAATCAGAAATCAGCGAAATATAATGTCCTTGAAACAAGCTAGTATATATGTAAACCACAAAATTTTAACCCCACAAAAAGATGTATTAGATATTGTCGTGTGAAAATTCATCAATTTTATTTAAATTAATTTCTCATACCTTTCCAACATATAGATATATGAACAGTAGCAAAAATGAGCTCTTGATGAGAATTGTAATTTTTGTCAGGTTTAACAGACCGAGACTTGAGAGGGGTTTGGTCTAATTAACATACACACTCGGCAGATAAAGAATTTCCATAGTCTAAACTACATGTGTACATGTTTAGTTGTATGCAGCAAAAACTTAATTAGTTACATTCATTAAACATAATAGCCTCTATCAGTAAACATAATAGCCTCTATCAAGCCTCTATCAGTAAACATAATAGCCTCTATCAGTAAACATAATACTCCCCCCCCCTGTCTCCTCTACACAGACTTTGCACAATATACCTCTATCATTTTTATGTTAGTGAAAATGTGTTATCTGTTTTCCAGGATGGTCCTCCAAAGCCTTCTAGAGTATCTGGCTGGGGCGAAGATGCTCCAAGGAAAAGGTATTTGCTCCCACACAGGATATAGGTCACCTGTACATGTATATACCATATATACAATCTTCTATACTTAAGTCGTCTGTACTCATAATATAAATTACTTATACAGATAGGTCTGCAATATCTGGCAATATCATTAATTATATCAGCCCTTCATATACCTGATTAATCAATCTCACATATTTCTTTACAATAAAAATGTCATAAATTGTTCATGCTTGCTGGCATAGTAGAACCTTGGTAATCCAAAGTGAATTGTTTTTGGGATTAACAAGATAAAAATGAACACACTTGATTATGTCATGAAATAGCACATCATAAGTAATTCCAGACTACCAGCGAGTCCACATTTAATATGCCATTAAGTACATCATCAGGCATCTATGTGTAGTAAATATTCTGTTTCTATATAAAACATTCAGAATGATGCAGTTTTATAATCTCATTTACAGCAGGAAACTGGGAGAAGGATTTGAACAGTTTGATGAGTAAGTATGGACATAAGCAGTAAGCAATAAATGACCCATGGTCACAAGCGCCGTCTATCCTGGCTATTACCCAGTAGTTGTGCTGTGTCCGTACAGTGTCACTTGTCCCTGGGATGTTGTCACTGTTGTCTGTTGTACACAGTGTCACTTGTCCCTGGGATGTTGTCACTGTTGTCTGTTGTACACAGTGTCACTTGTCCCTGGGATGTTGTCACTGTTGTCTGTTGTACACAGTGTCACTTGTCCCTGGGATGTTGTCACTGTTGTCTGTTGTACACAGTGTCACTTGTCCCTGGGATGTTGTCACTGTTGTCTGTTGTACACAGTGTCACTTGTCCCTGGGATGTTGTCACTGTTGTCTGTTGTAGTTTATAGGAGATAGTGTTGTTGTATTGGATATTGTCCTGTAAACGTTGTGTTCAAATCTGTGGTCACACACATAGCAGACACTGTCACGTCAACGTGGTAACCTGATGTTGTGGTTCACATGTTTTTAAACTTAAACATGACTCATGAATCTTTATTGTTTCATTATCATATTGATTTGATTGTCAAAAGTGTAACAAGTGACTAGGGTTTGAGAAGAGTAGAAGGTTGACAAGGTAGAAAACTGTAGGGTGAGGCTACTTGTGGACCCTTTAGGGTGAGGCTACTTGTGTACCGTTTAGGGTGAGGCTTCTTGTGTACACTGTAGGGTGAGGCTACTTGTGTACCCTGTAGGGTGAGGATACTTGTGTACACTGTAGGGTGAGTCTACTTGTGTACCCTGTAGAGTGAGGCTACTTGTGTACCCTGTAAGGTGAGGCTACTTGTGTACCCTGTAGGGTGAGGCTACTTGTGTACCCTGTGGGTGAGGCTACTTGTGTACACTGTAGCTAGGGGGAGGCTACTTGTGTACACTGTAGGGTGAGGCTACTTGTGTACACTGTAGGGTGAGGTTACTTGTGTACACTGTAGGATGAGGCTCCTTGTGTACACTGTAGGGTGAGGCTACTTGTGGACCCTGTAGCTAGGGTGAGGCTACTTGTGTACCCTGTAGGGTGAGGCTACTTGTGTACACTGTAGCTAGGGTGAGGCTACTTGTGTACACTGTAGGGTGAGGCTACTTTTGTACACTGTAGGGTGAGGCTACTTGTGTACACTGTAGGGTGAGGCTACCTGTGTACCCTGTTGTACATTGTCCTCTTCACTAACTACTCTGAGAGAGAAAAAAATATGTCCCTAACATGCCAAAGGGATTTTTATCTTGTAATTTATTCTTTGTCCCTATAATAATTGGATTTGAAGTTTCCATAGAAGGAACTTTATTTTTAAATATGGAGCTCCCTAGAACTGACTAGTACCGGGTACACTAGAAGACAGAGCCAACCCCAAAGTATACTTTTATTCTGATTTTTTTTTTTTTTTTAGCCAAGTCTGTTTTATTGATAGTCGTCTATACAGCTCAGTTTCACTTAATGTTGTTGCTATATTCCTAGCAATATAATTTGAAATGCTTTTGAATACAACATATCAGATGCATGTGTTGATGTAGAGGTAGCTTAGATATTTTAAATGTTGGAATGCCACCACATTTTCCCATGCATGTCTCAACATTTGACAGACGTGTGCATGCTAATTAAACAGGTATTTATCTCCCTACAATCAGGTTTAAACAGCTTATATCTTAAATTAATTAATCTTTACACAGAAGTATTTTGATTATGAGATGCAAAATTGTCAATATAAGAAAATAAAAAAGAGAATTTAGGAGTAGTTTTAGATAATACAATCATTGCTCTAATGGATTAAGATAGTTGTAAAATTGTTTCTGATTTGATATTGTTTGCTGTGATTTTTTGGTTTTGGCTGTAATGGAGTGGTCCATTAAAGTTGGACATTAACATCATTTGTAAATGTGATACATGACACTTACAATAGATACTTCAGTTTTATGGATGTTATATATATGCACATTATGATAAAAATTACATTATTTCTTTAGTTTTAACCACACTGGTTAGTTTTGATATTCTGAAATATGTAACTGTAATATGAAATGCATGTAATTTGATATAAAACATGTTTTACTATTAACTAACAGGATATTTCTTGTCCTTCACATTTATTTTTGTTACAGCAAGCAAAAGTAAGCTGCATGTTTTATACACTGGTCGGCAGACAGAGATACATATGTAAAGCTTATAGTCCCCTCTAATCACCCCTCATTGCTAGTGATAACCCAATGGCATGGATCACAGGCTTCAGCTCAGGCTTGCTCCTATCAGCTTACACAAACTGTAAATCACAACATCTGTGTACTTTCGGAGAAAGTCCTCTGGTTGTTTCCTTTATATCCCACTCTGAGTGTCCTTACTGGGTTTCCTTTGGTTGTCCTGTGTGTCTCACTTTAAGTGTCGTTACTATGCATGTTTCTCCTCTGGTTGTCCTGTGTGTCCTACTCTCAGTGTCCTTATTGTGTCTCCTCTGGTTGTCATTAATGTCCAGCTCTGAGTGTCCTTTCTATGTCTCCAAACATTGTCCTGTGTGTCCTACTCTAAGTGGCCTTATTGTGTTTCCCTCTGTTGTCCTGTGTGTCCTACTATGGTCCTTTTTGTGTCTAAAGGTTGTCCAGTGTGTCCAACTCATAATTTCCTTGTTGTGTCTCTCTAGGTTGTCCTTTGTACCCTACTCTAAGTGTCCTTATTGTGTCTCTCTAGGTTGTCTTGTGTGTCCTACTCTGAATGTCCTTATTGTGTCTCTAGGTTGTCCAGTGTGTCCAACTCATAATGTCCTTATTGTGTCTCCCTAGGTTGTCCTGTGTGTCCTACTCTGAATGTCTTTATTGTGTCTCCCTAGGTTGTCCTGTGTACCCTACTCTAAGTGTCCTTACTGTGTCTCTCTAGGTTGTCCTGTGTCTCACTTTGAGTGTTTTTCATGTGTCTCCTGTGTTTGTCCTGTGTTTCTTTTTTTGTGTCCTTACTCTGTCTCCCAAGGTTGTCCTGCATGCCTCACTTTTTTTTTGTCCATACTATGTCTCCCAAGGTTGTCCTATGTGGCCTACTCTAAGTGTCCTGACTGTGTCTCTCTATGTTGTCTTGTGTGTCCTACTTAAAGTGTCTTGACTGTGTCTCCCAAAATTGTCTTGTGTTTCCTACTTAAAGTGTCTTGACTGTGTCTCCCAAGGTTGTCTTGTGTGTTCTATTCTTTGTGTCCTGACTGTGTCTCTCTAGGTTGTCTTGTGTGTCCTACTCTACGTGTCCTGACTGTGTCTCCCAAGGTTGTCTTGTGTGTCCTACTCTACGTGTCCTGACTGTGTCTCGCAAGGTTGTCTTGAGTGTTCTATTCTTTGTGTCCTGACTGTGTCTCTCTAGGTTGTCTTGTGTGTCCTACTCTACGTACGTGTCCTGACTGTGTCTCCCAAGGTTGCCCTGTGTGTCCTACTCTTAGTGTCCTGACTGTGTCTCTCTATGTTGTCTTGTGTGTCCTACTTAAAGTTTCCTGACTCTGTCTCCCAAGGTTGCCTTGTGTGTCCTACTCTGAGTGTCCTGACTGTGTCTCTCTAGGTTGTCTTGTTTGTCCTATTAAAGTGTCCTGACTGTGTCTCCCAAGGTTGTCTTGTGTGTCCTACTATAGGTTTCCACACTGTGTCTCCAAATGTTGCCCTGTGTGTCCTACTCTTAGTGTCCTGACTGTGTCTCTCTAGGTTGTCTTGTTTGTCCTATTAAAGTGTCCTGACTGTGTCTCTCTAGGTTGTCTTGTTTGTCCTATTAAAGTGTCCTGACTGTGTCTCCCAAGGTTGTCTTGTGTGTCCTACTATAGGTGTCCTGACTGTGTCTCCCAAGGTTGCCCTGTGTGTCCTATTCTTAGTGTCCTGACTTGTGTCTCTCTAGGTTGTATTGTGTGTCCTATTAAAGTGTCCTGACTGTGTCTCTCTAGGTTGTCTTGTGTGTCCTACTCTTAGTGTCCAGACTGTGTCTCTTCAGGTTGTCCTGTGTGCGCTACTTTTAGTGTTCTGACTGTGTTTCCTCTGGTTGTCCTGTGTTACCCAGTCTGAGTGTACTTAGTGTGTCTCATCTGGTTGTCTTTATTTACCCAGTCTTAATGTCCTTACAGTGTCTCCCTAGGTTGTCGTGTGTGTCCTACTCTGAGTGTCCTTACTGTGTCTCCTCTGGTTGTCCTGCGTTACACACTCTGAGTGTACTTTGTGTGTCTCTTCTGGTTGTATCACTGAGTTACCTATTATTTTAGTTGTTGTAACGTGTATTTCATTGATAGTACTTGTTGAACTCCCACTAGTTGTCCGGTGTCTTCCTTGTCCTGTTACATTTGACTTGAGTTGTCCTAACTATGCCACCCTGCTTATCCTTTGTGCATCTCTCATCATCTTGCATTTCTCGCTCAGTTCATTGTTTTCATTCCATTGCATTCCCAGGACTGGTACAATGTCTATATTTGATAACAGAGCCGCCCAGATCAGTCTATTATTAAATGCCCTTCATCAATACCTATATTCCGAACCCAAGTATCACCTACCAACAGACCATACATGTGTATAGGATACTAGTAGTAAGTCCAGTTATGTACCAAAGCTTCAGGCTCATTGATTGACAATATCAAGGATGCATGGTTTTGATGTGGTAATTTCATCACTTCACTATGATGTGTCATATATAGATATATGTATACATGAATCACAATGTTAATTGCATGTTAATTTTTATTTTTACTTTTGTGCCAGTGAACAAGATGTACTGTTTGGGATTGATGATGATTTTGGGTAAAGCTTTGATTTGCACCGGTTCACTAGTTGTAGTGTGTCATCCCTGGTGTTTGTTTTGTGTACATGTCTGTACCAGCCATCACTGTCCCTATTTTACCACACATAGGGCATTGTCCCTAGTTACCACACATAGGGCATTGTCCCTAGTTACCACATGTGGTGCCATGGCCTTCACCATTTGTGAGGCCCTGTCCCAACTGATGACTCCATACCTAGTGTGGATACTAATGACATTGTTCACTTTAACTTCACAATTAGTTACAATATTATTTTGTTATTATTACACCTTTCATAAGTATCATGGCTGAAGTAAATATTTGCTTGGTTTAGTTAAAAGACACGGGGCACGTGTTGGGAAGCTTATTTTATTTATTTTATAATTTCTCTTCAAGTGCTTTAAATGATGGAATGTTTCAGGGTTTTATGCTGTGTAAAAGTTTATTAACAACACTTAAGATAATGAATGTTATTATTAATATGAAACTTATCTTTGTAAACAAGAAAAGGTTAAACTCGGCACATTACAGTAGCTAACAGTGGGGATGTGGAATGTTTTTTCTCCCACCCTTCACAGGTGTGTCTCCCGTTTAAGGTGGGGAAGATAGCCTTGCGCCGATTAGCATATGTTCAATTGTGACGTCATAAAAATGCGCCACCGGTAATTTTAATGTCATCAAAAGTGAATGACGATTTTCATACCCCATATGTGTTTTTGTTTACACTACTGTCGGTGGAGTTGTGACTTAAATAATAGGATGGGAGAAAAATAATCATCCCCTACCATAAGGGTGTAACAGAGAAATCTCGAACCCTCGGGGTGATTTATTGGGGTTGTCTAACCCTCGGCTGAGCCTCAGGTTAGACAACCAAAAAAATCACCCCTTGGATTTGAGATTTCTCTGTCACACCCTCAAGGTAGGGGAAGATTCTATTTATCAACAAATTACATGTTTCGTATACTTGTAAGTTTACAAGGTAACAAAACACAAGTGATGGTACATTTTGTATTTTTAGGTCACCTGAGCTTTGCTCAAGTGACCTTTTCTAATCGCTTTCCGTCCGTCGTGCGTTGTGCGTAAACTTTTTACATTTTCAACTTCTCCTCAAGAACCAGTGGATGGATTTTTTTAAAACTTGGTCAGAATCATTCTTGGTAGATGAGGCTACACAATTGTAAAATTGGAATTCCTACCCTAACCCCTGGGGCCAGGGCGGGGCCCCAAAGGGAAAATTAACCAATTTTTCAAAAATCTTCTTCTCCAGACTCTGTGGTACTACAGTCAATTTCTCTGCATGGAAAGAAAGATCATCAGGGGCTTTACTTAAATTGTAAATTTCAGGACCCTTGAGCTATTCGTTCTCCCTTGGGGAGGGGGTAAAGTTTACTATAGTTTATATAGAGAAATAACACTTTTGGGTATATTTTGACAACTTTCTGTAGGAAATTATTTTTACTTGGTGAGAATTATCCTTGGAGAAAGATAGTTTCAAATTGTAAAATTGAGATTCCGACCCTAGGGGCCAGGGCGGGGGCGGGGCCCCAAAGGGAAAATTAATCAATATTTCAAAAATCTTCTTCTCCAGACTCAGAGGTACTACAGTGATTTTCTCTACGTGGAAAGAAAGATCATCAGGGGCTTTACTTAAATTGTAAATTTCAGGACCCCCGAGCTATCCGTTCTCCCTTGGGGAGGGGGTAAAGTTTACTATAGTTTATATAGGGAAATAACACTTTTGGGTATATATTTTATCCATTTTCAGCAGAAAATTACTCAAACTTAGTCAGAATCATCTTTGGTGAATGAGAGTATTACTTTGTAAAATTGGGATTCCTGCCCCATCCCCAGGGGCTAGGGCGGGGCCCCAAAGGGAACATTTACCAATATTTTCAAATTCTTATCCTTTGATGACATGACAAGTATTGTATTTCACTTAGTTTACATGCTGATTTCCACATCACATCTAAACAATAAAATAAAGTTACCAGTACCTATGATATAACTCAGGTTACCGCTAAGGCCCTTGGGCCTCTTGTTTTATATTCATGGTGGTGGTCAGATATTGAATAAGCAATTGTCTTGATTTATCCACTGTTCATGCTTACAAGTAACTAGCTTAGGCATGGATGGGAAGGTAGCCGCTGTGTTTAACCTAAATTGAATTCTGATTTTGGTAATTCAATGACAACGTGTCGACTGTGTCTGCTTGATGCTCTGCATGTAAAAGATGGGACCAGGCTTCTACAGACAAACAACCCCTGCTGTAGTAGAAAACAGTTCCCATAGAAATTAGACAAAGTTGTATAGAGTTTTGTAGCAAAGAACAAACATATTTTGTTTTTACGGGGGAATATCATGTATTAAAATAATCAGAAGGTTCCTTCCCATTACAGATAACATTCCTGATGTTTCTAATACGTGTGGTAGTGATTCACAGTGACTTGCACCAATTATGTCTTTTTCAGAGTGTGTCAGGATTACTTAGAATAGTTTTAATATCACACAGATATTCTGCAATTTACAAATGAGAAATGACCTTATTGGAGGCTAGTAAAAGTATGAGTCTTAAAGGTTGAAAATCCTCACAACAACAATGATAACCTCATTTTGTTCTAAAAACAGCACAATTACACTTGTAATCAACAACCCAGCTGATTACCTTAGACATTCATGTTTATCTAGATATTTTATTTGTATACCTGTTTATGTTACATCTGTTAAGTTTTCTAACTACATTTGATAGCTTACACTCTACTACGTTGTGGAATCTGCAATTTTGATGTATCAGAAAATGTGTTTATGATAAAATATGGTACAGTATACCATGTACAATAGTTGGAGGTTTTTCAGAAGATGATTTTTGTAAATGATGATAATTCAACCCAGGTAAGATGTCATGTGGTGTCATTTAAAACTTTGAACACTTGACAGTCATTTGTTTACATTAAATCACTGTCCTGTGGACAAACATGTACATCATAGAAATACATGTATTAATTTCATTTCCTACTGTGGTAAAATTGTACATATATGTTTATTGGTAAATTTGACCCATAGGTAAAGCTTTTCTGGTGCAGTTTTACTTTTAATTTTAATAAAACAAAGTAGTTATTGTCTGTATTTTAAAATGATGTTATTTTGACATCAAACATGACAGAATTTGTCTGAGGAAATGAGAATGATTTTGTGTTGTATTGTATTCCTGGTGGCCTCCCTCAGCCATAACATGCTAAGGGAGACAATTCAAATAAGTCAACAGTTCTCTGCTGCATAAATGAGGTCGATGATAATCTTGTCAACTCAGCAAATGAACTTGGTGAATAGCTGTTGAAATATTGATTACAATAGGATACAATAGGATAAATAATGGATGCAGGCAGACACTCTGCCTCTATATCCATATCTTAATATATTTTAAACGTATTTAGAAAATATTATTATATTATTTATTTATTGTCATTTCCTGAGATTTCTTTCTGATTACATTTGTTAAACACTATATTTTTGTATCTCAAAATCTACAAGTACTGGTAACTTCAGGATTCATATACTTAACTGATCATTATTAATGTTTACATATGTATGATTATAGGCTTCAATTCTTAGAAAATATATATTCCTGATAGAAATTTGATCTCTAAGTTGCACCAAACCCCCTGAGATCTGAAGGGTGGGGTGGGGGTGATGGTACCATCCAAATTACCCAGGGGGGATGGTGTAGGATCTTCAGCTTGTATGTCACAATTCCTCCCATGAATGTGTGTAGGTTCAAAACATCCATTCTACACAAAATCCAGTTTCATGTCAGCATGTTATTGTAGTTCTATGTACCTACAACTTTCTAGCATAATGAAACATCATATGCATCAGCTAACATTATTTACTTTCTGTTGACAGTGAGCGACTACGCCCCAAAAGTCCAGACAATGATTCAGATAATGGTAAGCAATGTGCATCACTGTTATACAATATCTGTAGTCATAGTAACAGAAAATAAGTCCAGCATTCAAGCATGCTTACGCCACATACATGTATTAGTAAAATTCGTCCACAGTAATCTAACCATTAAGTGCTTTGTTAAAAACTTCCATGAATTAACAATTATTCACCCCATAGTACCCACTTGTGTTTGGTCTGTTTAAAAAAAAAAAAAGATTAATCCAGAAGTTTGGGATGCTATAATGCTGCTTTTTATCATTGTTTGGAACAGATAATGATCTAATTGTTTTGTGTTACAGAAATCCCTGTGATACCAGACCTTGAGGACCAACAGGATGACGATATGACCTCCACGATTGCAGTAGCTCCAAAGTACGACCTCTGTCACCAAACATACAATCAGTCTTCGATTGTAATAAATGGAATGTTCAGCACATGTAGTTTTATGACTCCCTGATATTATCACTCTTGTTTAGTATTTACAAATTACAATATCAATCCATCCTTTTATTGCTTTTCTTCAGATGAAATATAATTAGTATGTACTTCTGACAAGTATTTACTTGTTCATGTACAGTATCAGTACTGTAGACATTTTAACTTTTATGATATCAGAAACTTTTTAAGAAGGAAAAAATGAATTTGAAAGGAGGCAGGGAAACAAATTATTTAAAAATGACCCCGGTATAGGATGCTGTGTTGTATTTTGTTGCAGTGTTGCTGTAAACAGGGTGGCTACTTACAGAGAATTAGACAATGACCTCCTGAGACAGGCTGCATTTCTGACACTGGTAAGCTTCAGTCAGGTATCCCTTGAGATTATTTATGTTGCAAAATAAAAAATTGTACCAAATATTTTCAAAAGCCATCACATAAGTTTTAATAAATGACCCATTAGGCATGACACAGAACAGTGTAGCTATGCTTTGCTTTAGGGTGAAAGGAGATATACCATATTACTTAATCCGCTAATACTCTCGCTTTAGGTTCTGGTACTGGGTCTTCAAAGTCTATTTTTTTCCGGGACATATTTCATACACCATTTATACATACACCACCTATAAAAGTTCTGCTGTGTGATTGTACTGTGATGTGGGATGTTTGATTATGGTAACAGATTATTATATATATATATGTAATTGCAGGATAATGAGATTGATCTGAAGTTACTGACCAAGTCCCTATCAGCAGAGGCTGATTTAGTTGAGGTAAGGCCTACTGGGTTATACAAATCCACAATGAGGTAATTGCTTCTTTACTCTTTGGACATATATTTAACCTTGAAGGGAGACGTTTTGTAAAACATTTTCCTACCTGTCATGTCTTTAAATGGGACATATACAATGTAGTAAGTTTAAACAACATCTAGGATGATCATACATGGTCCACCTTAGAATAGTGTTTACTGCTGATGTCATTTGACCTCATATATATTAAATCATTATATTTTCTTTACCACCCGAGTAGAAATAAAATAGTTTTGTTTGATAGTTATATTTAAAACAAGCTACGGAAATGAAGGTCTTCAGAAGACTTAAAATATTTTGTGATAATGTCTGGTGTGTCAATATTTACATACAGTAATATTAATATTGACTTTGAACCATTATGTCTACAGGATGATAAGCCCTGGGACTGGGACCGACTATTCACGGAGGTCACATCCGAAATCCTGTCACAGATGGAGAACACGGAGGAACCAGAGTCACAAGAGCAACAGCAGTCCTTATGAGGGGAGTGGAAATCCATTGAACAATAGGTCGTTTTAAAACTTTAATGTCAGACACCAGAGTGGGATTTACTGAATAACTGCCAGGTTGAGGTTCAATATTAACAGATATTGAAGTGCACAGTTAGTGTTGGACACAAATAATGACTGATCTGTCCAAAATGAGGAAAGTGTACCACATATCAACATTGTGCACAATATTTTTTCAGATTTAATTGTTAATAATTTTAAAATATACATGGAAGAAATCACATGTACTTGTAATTATATACAATATTATGATGGGTATCTGTTCCAGTACACATTACTGTGTGTATGTATGTCAGGGTGAGAGTATGGGTGTATGTCTAATATGTAAATAGTCTATCAATAAAGAAACAACAAATGGTTGTCAGGATTGAATCTGTTATTTGTCATGTACACATTTCCATACTGATATAAGATATTTCCTACATAAAACAAGAGATCCTAGAAGGTTCTTGGCACCCACCATGTAAGGATTTGTATCAGATCTACAAAAGATGGTTTTTTACCTTCTTTGCTCTTCATTTTCCTTAGAGGTACTATTACCCAGTCCCATGTTGGAAATCCTAAACGGGAATCTTGTACATTATCTTAAACCCTGTAATGTCAAATGTTATTTGGCACATTATTTTGTAATTCTTACGTAATTAAAAGTGCCGTCAAGGATGTCTGATTTATCATTAGGGCCAGGGGTTTAACATGGGGACCAACATGAACATACATATCAAATACCTAGTAGTGATAACAACATTGAACTGTCGACATCAAGATGGCTGTCTGGTGGCCATCCTGTTTTCTGATCAGTCCCTATAATCAATATGCAAAAGTAGGGACTATTGGGAACCTTCGTGCAAAATTTGAGAATGATCTCTCCAGTACTTTCTTAGAAATAGTGCTAACAATCCTTAACTCTCAAAATTCAAGATGGATATCTGTCGGCCATCTTGGTTTATGGATCAGTCCCAAAATTTCATGTGAAATTTGACAAAGATCCCGGAAGAACTTTCTGGATAATAGCGCTAGCAAACTTTAGCTGTCAAAATTCAAATGGCCTCCTGTAGGCCATTTTGGTTTCTGATCAGTCCCAAAATTTGATACACATAACTAGGGACCAAGGAGAATCTTCCTGTGAAATTTGAGAAAGATCCCTCCAGTACTTTCTAAGAAATAGCAGGACAATCTTTAACTCTAAAAATTCAGGATGGCACCTGTCAGCAATCCAAGTTTTCCAATCAGTCCCAGAATTGGATATGCATACCAAGGAACCATAGGGAACCTTCATGTAAAATATGAGAAAGATCCTTCCAGTACTTTCTGAGAAATAGCGCTAACAAGAATTGTTAAAGGACAGACAAATATTGATTTGAATAGCTCATCTGATGATGGTGGGCAAAAAAATTAAATGCACACAAAAATATAATTTGGGGCACATACTACTTGTATGTAATAAAACATAGCAAACTCTTCAGTGGCTTACTCAGGAATACTGACTGTGTATCACAAAACTTGTGTGTGTTTTGGTTCCATGATGTTAAGTACATGCACATTGAAAAGTATATGAAAACTTAGCTGACAAGTCCAATTGTACTAGCAAATTGTGAAAGTTTGCACATTTGTTTAATAGCAAAATAGTTTTAAAATTTAACACGTGAAGGAAAATTATCTCAAATGCTTAATATTTTTTTGTTCATTTACAAATGGTTGGAATAAACAAGTTGCATTTTAAAGTAAGTCTTGTCATCTATAAATGATGTCATGTCCCTGTGGTTCGCAGTCTGTCACAACAACACTTAATGTCAATCAAAGGTTTTCAAAAGTTTTATTACATACAAAATTACTGTACATCTTTACAAATACAATTGTTAAACAAATCATATATCTACAATAAAGTTTCACAGCCTGTAGACTAACATAGCTTGTTTTACAATACAATGATCTGTAAACTTACAATCTGGACGGATCTGCTATATCACATTCTAGTGGAATTGCTTCAATTTAAGGTTGTATAATACCAATACATACACAAAACAACACTGGCAGTCTGTAGTGTGTTACAGGTCTGTACCATACCTATCAACTCATGTAACATACCTTTTTATGTGTCCATTTACACAGTAAGCTGTGGCTACTAGATAATTATACTGAAATGTGACCTATTCAGGGCGACATAATTTCTATACAAGTTTGTGTAGCCATATTTACCTTCCAGTTATTTGACACTGCTAAAAGTCAGAATTGGAATAGCCTCCCCCCACCCCCAAATGTACATGTGCTCATACAGGCCAAAAACAGCAGTTGAAAGACATTTCATAATTAACACCGTTTCATCAGCGTAGATTGAGCCTCACAACATTTGTTGACAATGAATTTTAGAATTATTCTAATCCCTGCTATAGCTCTTCAAAGTGTCTCAGCAGTGGTCAGGAGTATGTCCAGTTTGGTCTCACTAATCCAGTAGAGCAGTTTCCAGTGGTCACACTTGGCCCTGTGAGTAGGTGTCATTGAGTTTGTCAAATATGGGAATTGGGGGTACCAAGGTCTTGAAACTCTGAAAAATGAAATTAAAAAAATCCAAGTTAACAAAGGGGCATATTGATTCTCTGAAGAATGTAAGCATTCTGTTATCCTGTCCTGTGTAAGGAAGAATTGTACCCAGCTTTCACTTTGTCTGGCTTATCTCAGAACAATGAAGGTTTTGTAGTGGTGCAAAACACACCTTTTAGTGACAAGGCAAATGTGCAGGAAGTTGGATCAAACAACTTCTGCATGAAAGGTACTTCTTGGGGACCTTTAACCTCTTTCTGTAATATTGACCTTTGCATGAAAGCAGTATTTGACACATGTTGTGTCCTTTAACGAAAATATTTTGGAAGTTTTATCACATTCAAAAGTAATTGCCTGGACAAAAATAATACATAACCAGTTTAGTGATCTCTGCCCACTAACTTGACAATGGCCATATATCCATCCTCACTTATCCAAGTGTGAGAGATCCTTGTCTCACCATAGGGATGGGATGACCTTTTTGACAAGGCCAATGGGGTATTAAAAACAATCACCTTCACCCCCTCCCACTGTGAAGGGTGAGACGGAGGATCTCCACCAAAGAGGGAAAATTATCATGTTTGGTAAATTCAGAACCTTCCCCTAAGGGTTGAGGACTCATATCTCATCCTGATGTCCTTGAAAGTTTCTATTAATCTTCAGAAGTTATGATCAGGACACAGATATTATTGACCAGTTCATTGACAGAATGACATTTCTTGCACTAATGACAATTTTGATTAGTCAATATTTTACAAGGATATAAAATGGTCGCCAATTGGCTATCACTTCACAAGTCAAAACTTCAAGAAGAAATCTTTTAAATATCTAACTCTGTCATAACAAACCACAAATCAACATCACACATCCCTCCACCTAATTATTGTCCACACTGTTAACAACACAATCCTTGTTACTCAAGATCCAGTCACATGGAACATACAGCTGATAGTTACAAATGTACACACACACATACAGCTCTGATAGTTACACATGTACACACACATACAGCTCTGATAGTTACACATGTACACACATACAGCTCTGATAGTTACACATGTACACAAATACAGCTCTGATAGTTACAAATGGTCACACAAGTACAGCTCCATAGCTACACAAGTACACGTACAGCTCTGATACATGTAGCTTACATGTTACACATATACATGTTAACAAAGACATCAACAGAACATTCTTCAGCATAGAACAAAGAATATCTTTGTCATCCACAGGCAATGTGCAACCATAATATGACATCTGTAAAACAAGCCAACCTACAGAAAACATCTGACATTGGACACAAACACTAACATGGCACAGCAGCCATGCAAGTGATTTATATAAGCCTGGTAAATTGTTGCAGTATATTCTCGTTGCAATTACTAGCATACTGTAAAAGGTTATTTTGTAAGTCATTATACTTCATATTTTGTCAAAATAAGGACATCACATCATTACAACATCTATCTATAAATTGCAACATTTTACCAGACTTATCAAAGGGACACAATACACTATACAGTAGCAAAGTTACAGCCATGTAATGCCGATTCACTGGACACTTGTCTATAAAACACCATTTACCACCATTAAAACCAATTTAAATATTTGCCTTGTCTTTCCATTATATTTCCATCATGTCTGGCGGCGTCTGAAAACCAGTTAAAATTTTGGAAGCATGCATATTAAATAAAGGCCTATTCATATTTTTTTGCAGAGGTAACCTTATTCTTATTTGTAGCTCTGTAGTGTGTTTGCATGGAATCAGCATGTTCAGCTGTAGTGAGTTTAATTCAAATATAATGTAGAGTTATTGAAATAGCATAATTTAAGTGATGCAATCACATTTTTTTTTTTAATTCAGTAACTTTTGAGTTGCAGTATAGAAATTCATGATCACAACAAGTTGTTAATTTTATTGCTTAATAATGTTATCGCTTAACACCTACTATCAAAACTTGTGGATGTCGTTTCCTTTCAAAACAGAATGCTATTAAGTAGTTAATTTTTAAAAGGTCTTGCAAGACTGGCCTTTTGAATTAAGAAAGACTTCACACATACACTACATTTCACTTAATATCATGTTGCTTAATGTCACTTTTCTGTTATTATCATGTTTTCTTGATGCATCGTTTTTCATGCTTTAGTAATTCAATGTATGATCATTAATGTATTTTTAAATCAATGGGATTCTGAATAAACCATTCCTTATTCTGCAACATACTACCTGGTATATGATTTATGATTTTCGTTAGCGGAAGTAAAAAATAATTTGTATACAAATTGTAATATTACTGAAATGGACTTTGAGGTGAATACCATCAGGTATAAGTATTTCAACTTCAAAATGAAAAACTTGTGCCATACTCATTACCTGTGGGACAATATGTTTGTCTAGGAACTCCTCACGGTAGAAATGTGTACCGAAGGGTAGATGTCCATATTGTGATGTCGTGTGCAGCATGGGCTCATATCTTTGGTCCTTTTTAGAGAACGGCACAAATCTAATGAAGATAAAATAAAAAACAATTGTTGTGACATACTAGTATTGTATCTTTCCTTTCAGAGATGGTCCTCAAATTTTCTTATTATACAGCACTATTTTTAATTATTGATTACAACATGGCTGTATACATTTTACCATATTTATCTGGCAATCAGCCCATGTTTGGTAATAAGCCCACCAATATATATTGCTTCTAGGAAGAAATGCCAACAAAACTTTTTTCTTTGTCCTGTTATAAGCCCATCCCCTTACTTTCTTTAAAGGATTATGTGTTTGCCTCCAGGGAAATTACAGGATAAATATGGTAAAGTTTTCTTCCTTATTTAGATGAATACAATCATGCTTTCTGAATTGGCGCTGGGGTCTGGCTTTACCCTTTTGGACTTAGTTCATGGGTCATACCAAGTAAATTGCAGAGCTTTCACCATATAACAATAAATTTGCAATTGATTGGCATTAGGAGATTAATAGAATCTTCCCCTACCCTGCAGAGGGTTTAAGACAACCAAAATAATCACCCCGAGGGTTGGAGATCTCTGTTACACCCTTAAGGTAGGGGATGATTATTTTTCTCCCATCCTATTATTTCAGTCACAACTCCACCGACAGTATAGTGTAAACAAAAACACATGTGGGGTATGAATAGCGTCATTCACTTTTGATGACGTCACAATTACCGGTGACACATTTTAATGACATCACAATTGAGCACGTGCTAATCGGCACGAGGCTATCTCCCCCTAGGGGGTGACAAGCTGATCTTTCCCGACTAAAACGGGAGACACACCTGTGAAGGGTGGGAGAAAAAACACTCATAATTCACCCCTGAAGATCTAGTCCTTTGATCATAACTTAGAAACTGATCAGACCACCTCCCTATAACCATATATGTGCGATATTGGCATTACTAGATGAACACTATCGTGATACAAGGACTACATACGTGTTGTCATTGAGTCTAGTGACCCACTCCTCTGCCTTCATTGCCTGTCGAGCCTCCTCTAGGGCAGTATAGGAGGTGGAAACACGTAACGTCTGCTGGAACGGCTTGTAGCGTTGTTTCTGAACATCACTAGGGTCTCGGAATGGTCCCTGGAGAAGAAAGGCAAGCTTAAATAAAATTCTGGTAAAGTAAGGAAAATGTACACACAATAGTTGACAAATAAACTGTATTTCTTTTTATTCTCAGAATACAAACATCACTTCACCTAAGACTGTGTTTACTAACCTGTGGTTTTTCTGGAAGGGGAGGTAACTGCATTGGTTTAGGGAGATCATAACTCCGGCACACTGGATCATAAGGATCTTTTTCAGGTTTTTTCTTTTTGTGCACTAAAGGTTTTACACTCCGTAAGATGTATTCTTTCTCTGAAGGGTACCTGTAGACAGTAGATGTAAAAATCATTAAGTTGGGATCCCTTGTGACATATTTGTTATTAAAAACATGTAACTTCAAAATCAGAGAAAATGGTGGTCTTTAAGTATACATGTGATGTCTCCTAAAAAGCTCAAATCTCCCAGGATATAGTGTGAAACATTATGCAACTCTGAGAATACTTTTGTGGTCCTTAAAACTGAAGGTATTTCATGTAATAAGTAAAAGTGTATTCAGTAACTATTAAAACAGCAAAAGTTCAAGTGATAAATATAAAGAAAATACTACAGAAATCTACAATCCATAATACCACCAAACATTTACAATCCATAATACCACAGCTCTAGACAACACTCACGGTAGGAAGGGTGAGTTGAAGATACCGGGGATGACCTCTGTACTGATCAGGAAGTGGTACTTGCGTGCCTGATATTCCCTCTTCTTGGCTTCCTGTGCCTCCCTCTTCCTGTACGCGATCTGTTCCTGCTGTTCTGCATATTCCTCCAATTCACTCCTGAAAATTAGAGACAGATACAATACGTGTCTCTTACAAAGATATTTGGGTGGGAACAGGACAGCTAGATACACTGGTTGTTGTATAAAGAACCAGCTTATGACATTACAAGCATTAGAATGACTTGAAGTTTGCTCGCTGCTATGGTACTGACCTTGGTTCTTCATGCCCAGTGTAACACGTCGTGACACTATCCAGTCATAAAGTATCCATCTCCGAGATTTAATTGATAAATGTTATCCCTTTCACAAGTTATTGCTCAGGGAAGACATAGAATGACTTATCATTTGACCCTGCTGTGACCTTGACTTTTAGGGCATGGACTTTTGTCTGGTCAGTGACATGCCTAGTCATGATACAACCATCTATGAACTGTCATCAAAAAAGGCTTGTTGAGCTGTTCAAACGTCTTAGTCTGGACAGACATTTAAAATGACTTGGTATTTGACTCAATACTGTGATTTTTACCTTACATGCCTATATGAACCTAAGAGTGGTACCCCACACTGTCATACTACTGACCAAAATCTGGTGTATATATACTATAATACCTATTACATATGTGTACAAAAGGATCACATTCCCTATCTCCTTTATAATGACGCTGTACTTCCACATTACACATTAGTATGTAACAGAATATTAAATGTCATATCATGCAGTGAAACCTGTACAATCTGACACCCTGTTAAAGACATAACATGGAGGTCAAATTAGAGAGTATGTAGAAATACAGAGGTCTTCTTTTGTAGTTTTCATTAGACAATTACCTGACAATCTCGTTTTTGATTTGTAGGGCTTCAAGATATCGCTTTCTGCTGTGGTAGTTAAACACATATTTTCTGATGTAGTATCCACGCCACATCTTCTGGATCTGAAAAGGCAAAATGAACTCAGTCTAACATTAAGTAAACAAACAAGGGCTGCAACGAGTACTGTAGTAACTCTATTTGTTCTTGGCTCTGGATCATGATGGACAAACCCTGAATCAAAATCAGTTAAATTTTACAAAGAAATCTGTTCTTTATTGTTCTGAGTGAAACGTCTTCACAACAGCCCCATGTAAGGTCATATAACGACAGGCCATAACAGCTCCATGTAAGGTTATATAACAACAGGCCATAACAGCACCATGTAAGGTCATATAACGACAGGCCATAACAGCCCCATGTAAGGTCATAAAACGACAGGCCATAACAGCTCCATGTAAGTTCATAAAACGACAGGCCATAACAGCTCCATGTAAGTTCATAAAACGACAGGCCATAACAGCTCCATGTAAGATCATATAACGACAGGCCATAACAGCCCCATGTAAGGTCATAAAACGACAGGCCATAACAGCTCCATGTAAGGTTATATAACAACACGCCATAACAGCACCATGTAAGGTCATATAACAAGAGGCCATAACAGCACCATGTAAGGTCATATAACGACAGGCCATAAGAGCTCCATGTAAGGTCATATAACGACAGGCCATAAGAGCTCCATGTAAGGTCATATAACGACAGGCGATAACAGCTCCATGTAAGGCCATATAACGACAGGCCATAACAGCTCCATGTAAGATCATATAACGACAGGCCATAACAGCCCCATGTAAGGTCATATAACGACAGGCAATAACAGCCCCATGTAAGGTCATATTATGACAGGCCATAACAGCTCCATTTAAGGTCATATAACAACAGGCCATAACAGCTCCATTTAAGGTCATAAAATGAGAGGCCATAACAGCTCCATGTAAGGTCATAAAACGACAGGCCATAACAGCTCCATGTAAGGTCATATAACGACAGGCCATAACAGCTCCATGTAAGGTCATATAACGACAGGCCATAACAGCTCCATGTAAGGTCATATAACGACAGGCCATAACAGCTCCATGTGAGGTCATAAAACGACAGGCCATAACAGCTCCATGTAAGGTCATAAAACGACAGGCCATAACAGCTCCATGTAAGGTCATAAAACGACAGGCCATAACAGCTCCATGTAAGGTCATAAAACGACAGGCCATAACAGCTCCATGTAAGGTCATAAAACGACAGGCCATAACAGCTCCATGTAAGGTCATAAAACGACAGGCCATAACAGCTCCATGTAAGGTCATAAAACGACAGGCCATAACAGCTCCATGTAAGGTCATAAAACGACAGGCCATAACAGCTCCATGTAAGGTCATAAAACGACAGGCCATAACAGCTCCATGTAAGTTCATATAACGACAGGCCATAACAGTTAAAACATAAGTCTCCACAATAAACTTTTTGTGTAAAAGAAATATACATGTACGAGATAGTTCTTTTTGTAGACACCACTGAAGCTTTGTCTGAACAGTTCACTGTTGTTTCAACACAGACACTAGATACCCCTGCTAACTTACCTTTGTTGCTTTTTCATTGTAGTGATTCAGCTTCATTATAAGTACACTATTCTGAAATAAAGAACACAGAAAATCATTAATTAATATGTAATTATGGTATAAAGATAAACTTTATTTATTTTACAACATATGAAACAAATTATCACCTTGGTGAAAGGCAAGTGCGCTGTCCACTGCGCCACCCGACCACCCCAATGTAATAATGGTATGATAATTCCTGTATGTAACATTCTTTCATTAAAGACTGATTATATGTCAAACTGACGTACAATCTTTTGTTTTCCTCAGGAATCAAATTCTTGAATGAATACCAGGTAATCTACTTGCTACTTACTTTTACCAGAACTCTGAAGTGGCGACGCCCCAGATATCCTCGCCATCGCTTTTGTATTATGTTGGCACTACTGTTCAGATGTCTGTAAAATACACCAAAATAGTCTTACTTCTGAACTAGACATGTTGACAGAGAACAGTAAGAAAACAAAAATTCATACTTCCTTCATACTCTTTTAAATTTTTTCTCTTAAATGAATCTTCAGTTAAGATAATCGTAACAATTTCAACACTTTTTCTTTTTCTTCAAAAAATTCAAGTATGATATGAGCTTCCAGTCTCATTATTCTTCAAAATATTAAATTCATCTTGTTTATCAAGTTATGATGAAAATAAATGTTGAAAGTATCATGCAACCACTAATTAATGAAATGACTACAGATTGATAATTTATGCTTACGTTATATAGGACCTTGTTCTGGATCCTCTGAACCATGCCTGTACTTTAAGAGCAGCAACAAACTCTTTATCACGTTGATTTTCTGCTTCACTGTAAAATGAAAACAAAATTCACTGAACTTTTATATTGATACCCACATGATACTTTATTCAGTCTAGATATAAGCTCTATCCTGTTAATTACATTGTATTTATCAGAAAGTTTTTTTTACAGAAATTGGCCACACTAAAAGCTTAAGATTGTTGCAAAGCATGATTGTGTTTTTCAATCTACATCACCAATGTCCATGGGCCTTTTGACGGCCCCCTGCACCATCTTGAATTCCTTCTTTGTATCATATCAGCATTTAACCTTTGACTTGTAATTAATATATATATATTACTTATAAGTTGAATGTGTTAATCTATAATGCAGTGTTTCTGGGCTTGGTCAATAATCTATAATGCAGTGTTTCTTGGCTTGGTCAATAATCTATAATGCAGTATTTCTGGGCTTGGTCAATACCTGGATATCTGATTGTTTACTTGGGTGACAGCTTGGTGGTGATCAATTCTCCACCAAGTACAAGTTTTCAAAACGGCATTATATAATTTATGTATATATAAAAAACAAATGACAAGAATTTCTTAGTACCTCCCTAGCGCTTTCACCTCTTTAGAGGTTCATCAGGGAAACTGTTATAACTATATATATATAAAGACATCAAAATATTCAAGCAGAAATATTGTATGCTGTAAAACATTTTGGTTATAGCTACATATATGTCCAAACACAGCTTCTGTAGTTCACATTTCCCCAAGCAATACTCATGAAGGAATTAGTACTTGGTCAAGTTGGTGAGAATTGGTCACTAACCAGTACTGTACTGTACAGCACCTGATGAAGTTTAGACATTCTAGACATCTACCTGGTCAGTAGCAGTAAAATGTACTGTGACCAACTCCAATTACAATTTTACTTATATTGTGTGTATGCCATTGTTTTAATTCGTTATTTGTCTATTCTTTTCTTTCTAATAGTTTCCCCTTACTGATGTTATTTTGCCAATGTACCAAAATGTATTCAAGTAGTGTCGACGTCAAGAGATACATGGTCCGCTTTGCTACAGTTTGCAAGTAATTTCAGGTATACATAGACGAGTTCTGAATATACAACATCAAACCAACATGTACTATGTAAACTCGAAATTCATATTGTTGATGTGGTTGATGAATAGAATGAGATACACTGTCATGACTGTACACATATTATATGTAGGTCTACATTCACAACTTCATAAATAGGGTCAAAATATAATATGCATGGTATCAAGTGACATTACAAAATCTGAAACAGCACTAATGGATTTTAAAGAAACGTTATGATGATAATAGAAATATCTTACTTTTTCCTTTGATATGACTCCTCGACAATTTGGTCAGTTTGGCGATGCAGCCTGACCATCGCCGCCATATTGTATATTGTGTTGTCAGGAGTGACGTCACAAAATTTTATTCTGCATTTTTAACATGACAGTGGATGAAAAGGGATATAAATGGGAGGTCAATTCATTTCTTAGAAGAAATGTTGTTTGTTTAAAAAACTGAACCTTTGAGAAACCATTGTGTCATAATGTATAAGAAGCCCCGAGTACGAAACTGCGGTTTATAAGCAGGTTGCGTAGAGACGATCTTTATCAACAATATGGCGGCAAATTGATCTCGAGTCGTCGGTGCAGAGTTATGAAGTTCAGTCAGTCGTTGTTTAACCTTTAAACCAACATCAACATGACAATGTACATGCCACCGATTGCCCGAAAGAAGAGGGTTTCCGGGCATTATGAGTAAGTTGTGTGACATATTTGTCATTTATTTTTTAATAAGTTTACAGTAAAAGTAACTTTCAATTTCGTATCACGGAAAGCATATTTTAGGCCTGCTACGAATGAAATCAATACAGTAAAGTAACGACATAACAGAAAGTAGTACCACATGATACTGTAGAGGTATATGGGCGTTAAAGTGTTGTCATGTGTGCCTAACATGCGAAAAAATGTTTGCAAAATTTAAAAAATAGAAGCTCGCTCTCACTGGTGCTGAGAAGCTGAGAAACGTTTTTTTATGGTTTCAGATCTAGATCAGACAGATGGATAAGATGACAGTACCCAAATCGGATCACCAAACCATTATTTTATACATTCATTGAAAATTCTGAGGATGAATTAATTATATTCATTTATGGTTGTATAAAAGGAAGAATAGCAATGGGTGTTCTTACAAACAAAATTAAATAGCATCGGTGCTCACATGAAATATTTTTAGAACGCTCTGAAGTCGCCTATCAGTGGTTCCAGGTTTTGCGAATGTCAGGACCTAAATCGGATCAAGGCTTGAATTTTGCAGTATCTTCCCCTTCAAATGAATATTTTTTTGTCAGCATATTATCATTTTATGATGACCTTTGGAATTTATATGAAAACAAGTATTTCTATAGGGTGAATTTATTTCTAAAGCCCAATACTGAATACATAGTCGTCGCATGCGCTATTTTCTAAAAACGTAAACAAAACACCGGCATATGAGTTTGAATTACGTTTTCTAGGGCTATTCGGACTAATCATCTGTAGACAAAAAATGGTGCATGGCTATCTATTCTAAAGTTACATCATTGTTATAATATAACTGATCTGTTGACACATTTATTGATTTAAAACTATTTTTGTAAAAAGTGATCCGATTTGGGTACTGATCCGATTTGGGTCCTGCCTCCTTATCACAAAATTTCAAAAGAAATTAACGTTTTTTCGTGATATAACCAATCTTTTTTAACAATACATACTGGTTAGGTTTATAAACATATATTTTTAATACACATCAAAATGATATATCAAATTAATACAGTCTAAATGTTGATAATATTCATGACAATTCATTTAATACCCTTAATGTAATACCTGAAACTCTGCAGTTACTATGCTCTGTGCTCCTAAAGGGATTTAGGGCCCAAAAATAATGTGTGTTTCAGGTAACATGCGTGAAAAAAATGGGGTAGGTTGGTAGGCAAATGATTTTATTTGAATTTGAATTTCTCCACGCATTACAATGGCTATTTACTTGTCAAGAGTAGGGACAGACTCCCGTAACAGGAAGAAAGACCATTTTAAAATTAATGCATGACTGTGAGCTCAGTCTGATTTATTTCTAGGGTCAGCAGTTAAATGTAGGGTAGGTCGGGATACCTGAAACACAGATAATGTTTTTTTGCCTAGGGCCACAACAAATCAGGTCAATAATTTCAAACACTGACTATTATTTGTTACAAACATGTTACAACAAAGTCTTTTTTTATTTATAGCCCTGATTCTTTCCGTGTTATAAGTGGAGATGCGGAGGAAATGCATCCAAAATTTGTGACAACATCAATAGAAGATCATGCTGATTTTCGAAGAGAAACTCCAGCAGGCGGATTAACACTGCCGAACATTTACAACAGACAAACTGAAGTGTTACCAAAGTCAGTGCCTGATTACAGGGTGAACAGGCCACATCCAGGTAGTTGTGGATTTTTAAGACACAATGTCAGAGTTTTAAATGAACCTGTATGTAGTGTATACACAGCCTCATCACATGATGAGCAGAATCTGTGGTGGCCTTCTAGGACATCAAATGAACCTCTGAATGTACCTCCTAAAACTAAGGACACAGTTTACAGGGGAGACTACATGCAGGATGGTGACAGAATACAAAGCAGTGGCTCAACAAGGCATAGTGCTAATCTCCACAGAGATCCTGCTCTTGGAACAGGTTAGTTCATAATCATTATGGAATATATATGAAACATCTATGTGAATATTATTGCTCGATATTATTTTCACTATTTCAGTAGCAAAGCAATGAAAGTTGGGGGAGGGGACATTGAATTAGTGAATATGGATAAGAATTACCCATACAAAACATTTGTATGTTTATCTCATATATTACCAATTGATCATTAGTGATCAAAACATCAAATCATATGAATAAGAGATAGTAAAAAAACCTTGAGAGCACCTGGCACTGAGTGTAATGTTCTTAGCGTGCCAGATCTGTACACTGTGCTGATGAATCAATCTTCTACACCAGGTGACAGTTATGTTATAAATATACTTATACATGATAAAGAGAACCATAAAATCACCACTGCCAATTTGTATGTGGATATTATTTTTAGATAAAGACATGTATTTGATTGCTCAAAGATTGGTTAACTTTAACTGGTGGTTATAATTAGTGGGAAATTAAAAACATTGTAAGTAAGAAGCCAGGGCATTCAAAGCAGAATAAATCTTCAGAACACATCAAACTAATCTGCTGCAACAAATATGTAGCAGTGAAATGATATTTATTTAGATACACATGTTCTTGATTTTGTTGTACATTGTATTAAATATTTAATTTTCCCTAACCACTGGTTAACTCTAGGGCAACCTTTGAGCAACCAGGGCCAGGTGGCTTCAAAAGATTACATGCTACTCAACTGGTTTGGATTTTTGTTGTTGTTGATTTCTTCAAATTCGTGACATTACAGCCGATAATTAAACACTGCCTATACATGTACATGCTGTATTACATTTCGTGATGTGCATGGAATGTATGATTTGAAGGACTGGGTTTTTAATTTGTAATTAAATATTACTGTTTGGTTAGAAGTATCCAGTTTGTATCAAACCTTGCTATGTAATCCCCAGATGTCACATGGCACTACATGGATCATGTGTCATTTTAACCAATAATTCAGTCCTGGCAAAACCCGATGTGATCATCGTGATTAGATCTGAACTGTATTGTCTAGTATCTGGGAAGTGATCTTACCTTTAGACTAGTGCATTAAGCCATGGATAAACTGTGAATACTTGTATGTGTGTTAGGAGCTTTGTTTGGGAAATACAGCTGTTTAAATTTACACTTGGGCACTCAAGTATGTAATGTCAGCCATCAGATTATATGTTTAATGAATATTGAGTTACGCATTGAGTTTAATGCAATAATCTGTTAATGTTACTTAAAACATTAGAAGAAAATGTATAAATTTAACTTGGATTATATTGGATTAGTTTTATGCTTAAATCAGCTTTTATTGCCGTTGTCGTTTTAAATATAACCTACGTTTTTTGTTTTTTTATCTGAGACCAACTCTCTTAAGCTTCATGCCTATAAGCAAAGTTTACTGGTTTAGTTTAGTATTACATGTTTATATCAAATATATGCAAATTAGCCATTGGTGTATATATTACATTTATTAGTATTAGTTTTGATATTATCTAAAAAGCCATAGAATTGATCAAACTAGGATACCAAAGATAATACTTCCTATTATAAGTAAATGGTGGCTGGCTTGTCAGGGTTTCAGTAACTTAAGTGGGATTGTCTGGGTGAAAGTTTGAATAGTTTAGATATTAAGAGCAGTAAAATAAAGCATTGATTTAAGTTGAGAAGTAATTTGTTTGCATTTCTGTTTTCCAGTACCTGTTAACTTTTTACCAGCCAGAAATGATAATAAACGCTTTTTCAAAGAGAAGATCTCATACGAGCATCAATACAATAGTCGCCTGAACCCCAACTATCCAACTAGAGCCAAGGTAAGGAAGCAATTTCAGCTCCTCCAAAGTTTGTTTGGGGAGGTATTTACAACTCCCAACTCGGCATGTAGCTTGATGGCAGTCAACAAAGGCAGTCGGCTTGTCAATGCTTGGTTCCTGTCCTACTGTTGACAGATCTATATCATTTTATATAAATATATGAAAAGTTTTGTATTGTTGGCCTCCAACATAGTGGCCCTATCCTATTTCACACGACCTTACCAATCAGAGGGTCAGTAGTCCTATTGTGCTTGGGACATGTTCTACTGTATGTATAGTGTATTATATAAAACAGCGCCACACTAAACACAGTAGTACAAGTCACCCTATACTTATCCATTACATACAAGAAAACAGATTGATGGTGTATGGTTTTAATTTGACTTTTAGATATTAAGATTATATATATTGAAAATTAATAACAAAAACTTGAAGTATAAACAAAAGAAGACTTTCAAAACAGCACTGATACTCAAAATTTTCAAATGTTCGACAAGTTAGACTTCAAAATTACCATGTATGTAATATGCCTGTAGCTTGATTTCTGATAACTCTTACAGTACCTGTAAAATGTGTTAGGTCATGTACATATAGCTGTGACAATGTACTTATCATCACTAAGTCACTTGTAGGAATACTTTCTTATTCTTGTAGAATTAGTGCATTATTATCTAGTGTATATATAGTACACAGTAGTTTGTATGTTATACTACACAGTAGTTTGTGTGTTATACTACACAGTAGCCGGATGTGTATAAATCATGACGGTGACATTAGAGGAATTTTTAGTGGAGGACATAGATATTATTCATGTATTGATTAAATACTTTTTTAACAGAATACACTATAGTTGTAATCATGGTGTTGGTCTACATACAGAGGTTTATTCAATACACATTTTCATGGGACGTCTACTTTAAAAATTATTTACTATCAACTGAACAATCTTCCGTGAATACTATATAAATAAATTTTAAAAATACTTAAAATACATAAGTTTTACTTTAAAATACTAATATAAGCATGAACAAATGATTTTGAATCAACAAATACATTTTGAAACTACCACTAAGAAACTGACTGGTATATATTTCCAGAAAAATAAAGTTAATTGGATCCATCATCTACATTAAGAAAAAGTAAATATTTGTTTTGTGATTCCGGCTCAGCTTACCTCATATGATTTGTGGCCTCCTTTATTTCCTTTTAATTATACACTCAAATGTTGTCTTTCTAAATATTCACCAAAGTATACCAAGGAAAAAAATGATATTGGACAGCCAGAGCAAAAAGATTTATAGAACAACCTTGTCTGTATAATAATGAGGAATTGAATTGAGTAATAGGATTCCAGAAAAAAAAATGGAAAATTTTGTTTGTGTCCAGAATATTGCAATATTTGTTGTTCCTTTTATTGTCAATCTTTCACAATCTCTCTGCAACATATTTTTGTTTTGTCTAAGTTATGCAGTATCCATTACAATATATAGGAGATCAAAGATGGGTGTGAAACAAAGATTTAAAGATGTTAATTCTTTTTATCTAATGAATAATACATAGGTTAATATATGGCTGTTCGGGCTAAACTTTTACAATATTTAAATTTGTTTTATTATGAAAAGAATGTGGAATAAATGTTAATCGTTATTTGGAGTATTTACTTTTATAACCACATACAGATTTTTTTCTCTTGAAGAAACATGAAATCCAGTTTTAGATGAAGTATGGTAGATTTTAACAGTTTTGCATGTAAAAAGGGGGCCAGTGATAGTAACCACACTAGTGCATGCTTCATATAGGAGTCATCGCAGCAAATCTATATATCATCCTGAGTGTTTTATAGATACCCAGTAATATCATGCCTCGTAAAGATTCATACGTCGTAGATTCTACACACCCATGTTACATATGAACTAATGTACCTTATAATTGACATCACTGATTCTCATGCCATTTTTCAGCTTTCATGTCATTTACCATGCCTTTGAGACAGAAACTTAAAATAGACATAATGGACTTTTCATGTTTTGTGAATAATTTACATTGTAATTTATGTCCCGGATGTTTGCGACATATATAGCCAGGGACATAACGTTTCTGATATACCTTACAGCTTAAATAAGTTTTCTTAGTTAGCTACTCCATATGACATATTTCTCATTCTTGAATCAGAAAACACCAAAGGATATTTTCCAGGTGAGGATTTTAGATAAACGCAGTCATTTGATTAAAATTTAAAAGCTCATTTGAACAAGATATTTGTTTTTCTTTGCTTTGAATGTAATATTTAGTTTAGAATTAAAACCCTCATATCTTGGGGATTTGTCTGTTGGTGCCTTAGTTTGATGTTGTTTGTGGTTTAAGTAAAATATGGAGCGACATCATCTGGGCCAGGACAAAAGATGAAAATGTCTGGACACGTTTCATTCTAATGAATTCTTTGCCTTGCTTTCATGTAAAATAATTCTCATTAAAAATAAGGATGATGGGCTACACATTTATACAATGCTAAAAGAATTGTATCATTCATATGCATTTAATCAGGTACAGGTTATTCATCAAATCAAGATCATTTCTTTTACATAAATATACATACAAAACAACGAATAAAATTCCATTAAATAATATTGGAATTTCAACAACGTACTGCTGGGATGAATTTAAGTATTTATAAGGTACTTTGATGTGAGATTTTATCGGTTTGGTCTGAAACGTACTGCAAAGAAATGAATCAGTATATATTCATTTGCTTGTACTAATTTCATTTTAGCCACTGTTTATTGAACATTCATAATATTTTCATATTTTACATTAATATTTTTTATCAAATCTGAATAAAGCTGTTCTAAACTTTTAATGAGTTTTATGAAAATTTTAAAGGATTATTTCCTAGACCTCATTTTTTTCTATACATGTTTCATCATCATCAGATGTTTGTTTGTGGGCCCGCTACTTGTGGTTTTAGTTGTGAATTTTAACATTTTTGAAAAGATCTAATCTGTCAATAAGTTAACCAGACTTTGTACATTAGACTCTCTACTAACTTTGGTATTAGACAGAGATTGTAACCATGGTAACAAAGAAAGACAACAGTAGATATAACAACATGACAGGTTTTAATATAGCTGTGAAAATTTATTGCTTTCAACATGTTCATCCATTTAAAGTTTTTTCTTAAACTACATATGCTTATAGTTTTTGTGTATATCAGCCTCAGAATCAAATTATTCTCAGAAATCTATTTTGTATTACAAAATATTTATAAAAGTTGGATTGCACTGATAACTGACTTTATTGGAACCGTTGCAAATGATTTGAATCTTATATTTCTGTATTTGAGGTTCTTACTATGTTAGCCTATATATTTTTTATTTCAGTGACATTAAAGAAAGACTATAAGTAACTGGAATATTTGAGCTTTCTGAAATCAAACTTATTTGAAACCTTTTGTGTGTTATGGTAAAATTAGGACGATTCCCTTCTCTGTTTAGTATGTCAGATATATTAATACTGTCAGTGAAAATAATCTGCTATATATGAAGAAAATAGTGGTTTTTTTTAATCTTTTTAATAGTTTGTCATCTTCTTTGTCCAAAGTTTATTTGTATGATAAGATATGTTGTTTTTGTTTGTTCTCACTCTGATATATTTGATGTTTGGACACCAAATATAAAAACATGAAGAAGACGTGTTGTTTTAGTATTTATTTAAAGGTTTTACCAAAAGATTTACTTTTCTTGTGTGATTAAAAACAATTGAGAAGATCAGGCAATTAAGGGCAGTACTTTTTATTTGGTGAAGCTTGGTAGTTGATACAATGACCACAGTTATCCTGACATTTTTCTCTTTTGATATTTTAGCGCCATGGCAGCTTTGTATGGGACCAGATGTCCAACGCTGAATCAAAACAGATGATGGAAGAGCAAACAGCATTAAACGAGGCAGAGTGCAAGGAGAATGCTCAGTCCCAGACTCACCCTCGCCCTATCAGTAACACCACGAGTAGCTCCGCCCCACCACCCTCCCAGCAGGATTCCACTCCACCCACAGAAGTTGTGCCGGAAAAGAAAACTGTTACATTTCAGTCTCCAATAGACAAAGAAAATGAAAAAATCCATAAATAGGGATAATAATTCATACTGGTAAAATAAGACAAATTTTATATCAAAATGGAAAAAAATTATAAATTGAAAACTTAAATTTAATACCAGGTAACAAAATTGTGATTACATAGTATACAATGATACTTGCACACTTGCCCTTATTTTGTGGCATAAACAAAGAATTTAGTCATGCACTAGTAACTGTTACATATTTAAGTAATTTTGTCATCCAACATTTTAATACATTGGGTAATGACCATTAATTAAAGAGGAACATGCACACATTTTTTATTTAAGATATTTTTTAAGACATCTGAAAAGTATAGTATACTCCAGTACTGTCATATCTTATCCTTAAATCACCTCTACGGTTTGTAACAGTATAATCAGAGATTATATGTAAAATCGGAAGTTATTTTAATGTTCAAACCAATTGGCACCCCAAAAACAATACTGTTGAAACTACTGTTGATACAGTAATACATGTATTTAGAGACCAGCAGATCTCTAAACAATGGGAATTAAACTAAGAATTTTTAGACTGATCTTTTATCTAGAGGTCTTGACCCACAAGCTTTAAACTTTAAATGACAGTTTTGTTTCTGTGACTATTTCTTGACTATGACATAGATATTGGTCATATGTACTATGTATAGTCAAGCATTTCTGTGGTATTAAAGAGTCCGACCAGTATTGAAGGAATGAAGGGTGCCCAAAGACATAATATTTTATATAGAGAATATGTAATTTTACCCCATTACAAGGTCGTTATTATACAGTGTATATTTTTTATATTCAGTAGTATTGGGGTTTATCCTCCCTATTTTTTACATCATTTTGTTATCATATATGCTTTAATAGTCTTCATTTTCACAGATTTCACTGCCCGTTGAGTTTCTGTGAAAAATAGGGCAAGATGTGTTAGCAAGCACAGGAAATGTTGAAAATGAAGACTGTTATGGTGACTAGTCCATGTATATCGCTATATCCCAGTCTGTGCCTTTCTCAGTCATTGGTAAACTATTTTATATAACTTTTTATATTTTGTTAATCATACATACATTTAATTTTGTATTCAACTTTGTTTTTAATACTGAATTTTATTTTCCTTTATAACTGTGAGCACATCTTTGTGATATTGTTACTTTCTGTCAGCTACCATGTGTTGTAGTGTAGGGTTTGTTTTGCGTTCAGTGTTCCTGTTATAATCAAGGCTTTCAGTCTGACTACATATAGTTCACCTGTTAATATTTTTATAATAAACTCATTAACATTTCTATGAAAAGAATTACATGATTTTGTTATTTTTTTTAAGAATTATTTAAAATTCAATTAAACACAAAAATCATATCTTGGTATTTGTGGAGATGAACATTGTAATATTCTCTTTTAATCTATCTATTCATCCTTGTTTATATTTATTTTGTGATCAAGCATCATCAAATATGAGGAGAGATACATAAATGATATATGTTCTCTTTTAGTTTGAATAATCAAATGAAATGATAATCCTCAGAAAACAAAACCGTTGAAATAACACCTGAAGATGAAATATAGATATGTACATGTTTAAATAAAATGTTAGCAGGTACTTTTGACCCAACATTACATAAGTAGAGATTTTGGGAGGTAATTTGACTTGTTTCTATATAAATAGAGATGTTGGCAGGTTCTTTTGACTGATTGCTGCACAAATAGAGATGTTGGCAGGTACGTTTGACCTTTTGCCTCATAAACAGGGATATTTGAAGGTACATTTGATTGGATTGACGAATGTACTTTTTAGAGTTTACCGTGATTAACTACAGAATATGTTTTGTTAATACTATGTTTATCTGTAGAACAAATTCATTGGAATATAATTAATATTATGCAGAGGTATATTGGAAAGAATATAATGGCAAACATTACTTTCACAAATGACTGTATGAAAGGGAGAAAAATACACCTGTAGGCCAATGCCCCGCTTGCCTGACCAGCCGAAAAACGTTACAAAAGTGTAAATTTACAATTAAATAAGGTACTGACCATACCAAATTTCGTTGGCATTGATGGTTAAGTAGGATTCCTCCATACAATGCTTTCTGCTGAAAAGAGATATCTCTCTGAAAAAACAAAATATGGAAATGATAAATTAATTTCATAAATAAGAGCTAACTTGCATATTTTTAAATGTTTAGTAAAAAGTAAGCGCATTTTGTCTAGGTAAATTTGTGTCGACAGACAGACGGACTTAACAGCATTTCTGGATCAAATAGGGAATGATGTTTGCCATTTCCCTATCCCCCATTCAATATTTTGTAGGTTTGGTTGAGTTGTTTTGGTTAGTCAAAACATGGCATATCGTCAATGTTAGTTGGCTTCATGAATTTAGCAGTCGTGGGGACGTAACCAACCATGCGCCAACGAGAAAATCAGGGATATATAATGGATAGTGTGCATATTTATTGCGCATGCATCAGTTCGAAGGGAAAGAGCCCTACAGCGTTTTACCCAGGAAGTTACAATTCACTATTTCACCCCCTGATATGAAAAGAACAAAGAGAGCAGCTGAAAATCATTCGTTACCATTTACCTTGACCATTAGAGAACAGTGACTATTTGTCTCCTTATTGTGACACCATTTGACGTCTAAAGGATATGACATGAACTACTGATTTTATCATGTCTGACCTTTATACGTATTGTATATAAAAAGGGGCAAGCTCTAGCATCTGACTTTTTCAGTTGAAATTATTTCAAATTTGTCTTTAATGTACCCAAATGGAGCCCCCACTCATCTGGATCACTTGGTTCACTTTTGGTTCAGTCAATGTTAGTATAAATAACTCTGTTAACACCACAGAGCTATTATTTATAGTTATTTTTTGTAGGCCCACTTAAGATCTCTAGGAAAATGGCATGAAAACTTTATATTCTTTATGCATATATTTCTCTATAAAGGGATAAAACGTGGCATTTATAATTATTAAGACGATTTTTAAACTTACATGAAATTACCCCTTATGATGCCTATATAGGCTTCAGCTCAACCTTTTTAAACTGCAAATCCACATCACCTAAATACTATCCTTGGATCCATTTGTGGTAAGGTATTGAAGACGGACGAAAACGGATTGCAATAGGTCCCACGAGCCTTCGTTTCGAGTGACATAAGCTAACGCAATGAGATCACAATTTAAGATGTACGGTATAGCACGACAGATATCGAGGTCAATGTTTGATCTGCGTATGGTTATTATAAAGATCATTGATGACGCCGATAGAAAAAAATCTGTGGAAATTCTAAAATCAAGCTTGAAATCAGCAATACAGAGCATAGAAAAACAATTTCATTCCGTTATGTTCAAATCTGATTGGAAAGACCAGGTATATGTACCCGTATATTCTCAAACGCTTTTTTGTAAACTCGTCAGTCGTATAAGATTGTTGACCTTGATAACAATTCAGTATACACAATATATAACCTATTTTTGTTAAAAGATAAATCTTTTTCATAAGCAAGAACAGCAGCTACCTTAAAATATCTCTACATTTGAACACTTTGATATATTTGCAGGACGGGCATCAGTTCTACTGTGGAATCTTGTGATCAAGGCATTACACTTTACACTACACGCTATTTGGTGACATTGGCTTGGAAGCTTACTACTTAAATGTAAAAAAGGACTTAATATGCGGCAATGGAGATATTTACACAAGGTCTATTTTCAACAGAAAAATACGTATCACATACTCAAGTGTAAACGATTCTACTTCATTGTATGCAAATAAACCTGTTTAAAACTCATAAATTAATTTTAATATACTAACTTGGTTAAACTGGTGTAAGTAGGCGGTCATACGCTCTGCAATGTCACCTTGCTATTTGTTTGTCATAATATTTAATAGAGAAATACAGAGCATTTTTAAATAACACATAAATCATTGATGACGCACGCATTAAAACCCCAGAAAAGGCCTACTACGTCCAAATCATATAGTTCTCAGATGAAATAAAATAGCAGAGTGATAAAAATGACATATAACTCCTGAAACACATGTTGTAACACAGTGGGAGACCTCTATCTTATCAGTTTGCCTTTCTCTACATCTGTTTCCTCATGGACAGACCGACATTTACTGATATAAGTATACTTTTGATTTTAACGTCTTGCTACTATTTCACATTGTCTACATTAGGCAGCTGTAGGCCTATTGTTGTAACCCTCTCCGTGCCAGCTCTCTTTGTGTGAAGATAATGTATATCTTTATGTTAAAGCAGGATCTTTTTCAGATCCCTCATCATCAATTACAATTCTGAAAGTATACTATCACAGTTTACTATTACAGTATACTATCAAAGTATACCAGTATCAAAGTATACTATCAAAGTACACTATCAAAGTATCCTATCAAAGTACACTATCAAAGTATACCAGTAGCAAAGTACACTATCAAAGTACACTAGCAAAGTATCCTATCAAAGTACACTATCAAAGTATACCAGTATCAAAGTACACTATCAAAGTACACTATCAAAGTACCCTATCAAAGTACACTATCAAAGTATACTATCAAAATACACTATCAAATTATACTATCAAAGTACACTATCAGCGGTCGGAGTCAAAATACACTATAAAAGTATACTATAAAGTACACTATCAAAGTACACTATCAAAGTACACTATCAAAGTACACTATCAAAGTATCCTATCAAAGTACACTATCAAAATATACCAGTATCAAAGTACACTATCAAAGTACACTATCAAAGTATCCTATCAAAGTACACTATCAAAGTATACCAGTATCTAAGTACACTATCAAAGTATACTATCAAAGTACACTATCAAAGTATACTATCAAAATACACTATCAAAGTTTACTATAAAGTACACTATCAAAGCACACTATCAAAGTACACTATCAAAGTACACTATCAAAGTATCCTATCAAAGTACACTATCAAAGTATACCAGTATCAAAGTACACTATCAAAGTACACTATCAAAGTATACTATCAAAATACACTATCAAATTATACTATCAAAGTACACTATCAAAGTATACTATCAAAATACACTATAAAAGTATACTATAAAGTACACTATCAAAGTACACTATCAAAGTACACTATCAAAGTACACTATCAAAGTATCCTATCAAAGTACACTATCAAAATATACCAGTATCAAAGTACACTATCAAAGTACACTATCAAAGTATCCTATCAAAGTACACTATCAAAGTATACCAGTATCAAAGTACACTATCAAAGTACACTATCAAAGTATCCTATCAAAGTACACTATCAAAGTATACCAGTATCAAAGTACACTATCAAAGTACACTATCAAAGTATCCTATCAAAGTACACTATCAAAGTATACCAGTATCAAAGTACACTATCAAAGTACACTATCAAAGTATCCTATCAAAGTACACTATCAAAGTATACCAGTATCAAAGTACACTATCAAAGTACACTATCAAAGTATCCTATCAAAGTACACTATCAAAGTATACCAGTATCAAAGTACACTATCAAAGTATACTATCAAAGTACACTATCAAAGTATACTATCAAAGTTTACTATAACAGAAACTGTGGTCTTAAGTGTGTAGAGAGGAAAAATTACCTTAACACAGCCTTACAAACAATAAACAGGTCTGGGCAACACGAATAAAGAAACAAATAAATCAAAACAAGAAATAACGTTAAGTTACAAAATGTACCACCGAAATTTAAGTAAAAATGTTTTGATGTGCAAGAAAAACTCACCTCAAATAACAGGTTCCTAGGCGTAAATTGTCATATTTCTTGCACTACATACCTGTAACTCCAGTTATAATGTCTTTTGGCATGTGGAGGAAAGGATGTCGATCATCAGCGATCTAAGACAGTGTGAACATATTTTGTTCACTTAATTACCATGACTGGAAGGTCATGGATAATAGAACAAATAGAGTATAGCGGCATGTTAAGTTATCTCCACCGTAAATTATGTAGCCTTAATTTGATTAGAAGCCTTTCCACTAAAACAAAAAGGATACATTATTAAATAGTCAAATGAGTAATCATGAAGGTTAGATGTTGTTCTTTTACCTACAGGAGCTTGTTACCCTGTATCAGCCGTCACGATCACTGCGGTCGGAGTCAGAATCATTGTTGTGTGTCCCAAAATCTCGTACTGTGACCTATGGAAACCGGTCCTTTAGGAGGGTTTCGGCCACGTTGTGGAATAGGTTACCATCTGCTTTTAGAAAATCAAATACCCTGGCCAATTGAAGAGGGACATCAAAACTCACCTCCTCACGTCTGCATTTAAGGGTCTTTGCAAAGATGTCATTTAAATACCACCCTTTATTTGTTAAATTTGTGCACATTGCTTGCCTAAATGTATAAACATGATTGTAAGCTTTTGTTTTTGTTTCACAATTATAACTATTAATATTATCCATATGTTGTAAAGCGCTTTAGTGTAATTTTACAAACTAAATAGGGCGCTATATAAATGTTGTATATTATTAGTAGTATTACATAAGATTAAAACTTAAAGTTTAATATTGTCAGCAATGATACCAGTAAAATTGACGACTAACAAGAACAGAATAGCCGGATGGTTCAACAAATTGCTGAACGTAACCTAAACACGAGTGATTGTACCTTTTAAAAGTTGGTAATAAATACAGTATGCCAAAATTACACTGTGCCATACAGCTGTTCCGTCTTCTCAGACTCATCGGTGATGCTAGGGGCCTAAAGTTCGAAATCCAAATAGGCCTAAACTACTGTTGAAACAGAAGGGGGATGTGTAACAAAACATAATTTATGAATTTCAAAATAGAAAGTACTGGTTAGTTTAAAACTTAGTTAGTAAAAACTGCATATTATGAACTGTGCCACTATTCAAAAAAGATCAATGTGGCTATCGAGGTTACGGCAAACCTCGGAGACGAAGACATCCACCATCTAGTGATAATATTCTTCTGAAACCTTTGATCTTATATGCTAAAATATCATTATTGACTTGGTAAATACAACACACTTTGCATCTTAAAATTGTAAATATTAATTCATATTTAGAAAGGTAGTATGTTCATGTGAAATATGGGGAAATTAAGAAGGTTTTTTAAGGTTTGAAATACATCTTTTTAACATTTATGAGGGTATGCAACACAGTTCCGTTCAAACATATTCCATGATGCGCGTTAGCGCATCTTGGAGAATATGTTTGAACGAAACTATGTTGCATACCCTCATATTTGTTAAAAAGATGCATTTCAAATCTTAAATAAACCTTCTTAATTTCCTAGATGATGCTGTTGGCTGAATTCTTATGTCGATCGTTTGTGTCAACAGGACTAGCTCATCGTTTGAGCATTCGGCATGTGTTATTATCGATGAGGGACTGGCCGACGAGCCGGGACGATTTCATCTGCTTCGCCACTTGCAACGGAAGCTAGTGTAGATTCTAGAGGACAGTGAATTAGGCCTATTCTGTTCTGTTGAAATATTGAGTCATGCAAACATTTTGAGTTGGTACTGTTATCAAGAGGCACTGCAACACAAATGTAAATATTCAAGATTAATCGTTAGGCTACACATGCACATCATATCTACATTTTTATTCTAACCAAAGTAAACACACTAATGTAAATAGTCCTTTCAATCTTGCTTCAATGATTATCACCTTCGTCATGAGAAATAATTTCAAAATGTTTGAGTTGGTCATCGAAAGCAACATCTTAAAACTCAATGTTAACCTACTGAGTTAATAGAACATGGCATACGGAAGGCAATTGAAAAGAGACCCTTTACATCCCTCCACAAATACAAAGGGATAAATCCATAAAGTTTAATCCATTTGTTTCTTCTTTCAACTAACGGAAATGCAATAGTTCTAAGAGCTAGAAACGAATAATTCATGAATGTGCCGGTGATTTAATGTATTACCTTCGTATCAATTCTATTCACCTGACAGTATTCTAAGAGAAAAAAAAAGATCATTCATCAAAATATTAAAATCTAGTCTCAACAGGCCACAGGAAAAGTTTGCGCTAAATTTTGTCCACCAATCTGGTGTACATTGTGACGGCACATAAATATTTAAGTGTGATGACATGTAACTGTAATTGCAGAAAGCATGAAAATCCTTGTAAATGGTGAAGCTGCTAGTCTTTTTATCTTATTTTTCTGTATCTATATTTTCTTTTCTATTATTTCTCTCGCATCTTCAAGATGTTGTTTTTTTACCATAATAAGTCTTCGGTTACAAACGAACCAAGGAGATTTGTGATAACATCAGCATATTTCATAAGTGATAACTGTTTTTGTATCAAATCAAATGAGCACACAGAGGAGAACGTCATTAGCAAAACATGTTCACTTACAAGCTTAAATGTTAAATGTAGAAGATGTGATTCCAGTGTAGTTCTCATATGTCTAAATAGTCAATAGTGGCCAACCCATAATTAGTAAATATAGTATTTAATATTGATAGCTGTTTTAACTGACAACTGCTTTTCACTGTGTCCAGCTGGTGACCTAGCGTCAGTGTTTCCTTAGTCCACAAAGGACAGTCGCCGACACATGACTAGCTCATTATCGCCCCCAAACGCAATCGTCTAACCAGTAAAAATTGGTTAGAAGACAGATATTACAGGCTTCGGTAGGGCTGTGTAATTGGGCGTGTACAGCACACTGTGGCGATAGTTAGTCTATATAAATACATCATCCCAGTATCTACAGGAATATTCTTTTCCCTTTTGTTACTTTAAGCGCCACATAAAGCAGCCTCTGACATATGCTATGTGAAGGTTTTATGGTGATCTCTTTTTGTGCCCAGCTGTTCCATATATACATGTGATCCGATTTGTCTACCAAATACACAACTAAAGAAAACCATCTTCTCAATTAGCCAGATCGATATGTTGGTCAAACTGTGTTTTCATTATTATCCACCTTCTCAAAATCCTGTTGCCAGTGTACATTATAATGTACAAGTCACAAGTGTCATGTTGCATCCGTCCACGTAGGCCTATGTGAATAGCCATACCAACTAGACTCATATGAACCGCTATTAGACTCGTGTTATTATAATTATTAAAATCAAAATTTCAGAGAAAGTTCAAATCATATAGGAGCTTCAAAAGGAACAATTACTTGACTGACATTAAAGACGGAAGGAATTTTACGTCATTTAATTACAATTTTAATTTACACTTCACAGGATGCAGTATATATTTCGATATAAGTAACACGAGTTTTCTAATTAATGTGACTTGAAGTTGTAAAAATGAGCATCTCAAGAGGAATATATTTTCACCTTCCTGGTATTTGGAGCATTGTGTTGATAACGTTGGTCTTAACGTGTGTGTGTGGGACACCGTGCGACCCCCGGGATTGTATCGTAAGTGACTGGGGCCACTGGACCGAGTGTTCTCAGAGTTGTGGTGAGGACGGTGTGGCAGAGAGGACGCGGCGCGTGCTTCAAGAAGCAGCATGTGGTGGAATCTGTGACGTCAACGTTACTGAGACCGACGAGTGTAATAGATGGTGCTGTGCCCAGGATTGCCGTTATTCCGCTTGGTCAGCCTGGTCTAACTACTTATGTTCACGTGAATGTGATAATACCACACAGAGAGCACATAGGAAGAAGACACGCGACATCATAGCAACTGAGAAATGTGGCGGCTATTGCAGCCAGGTCGTCCATGAGCGACAGTGTGGTAATCTGTGTTGCTATCGGGACTGCGTGGAAAGTTGGTGGATGGAATGGGGACCATGTGTTGGTCAGTGTGAGCAGAAAGGTGTCCAATCAAGGAGGAAACGAATCACACAGGAAGCGGCATGCGGGGGCATCCCCTGCTCTGAATCCTCGGAGGAAAGACAATGCTATGTAGGTTGTTGTCCAGTCCACTGTGAGGTAGGGGAGTGGGGTGAATGGTCCGTGTGTAATTCCACCTGTGGGAATGGTCACTTGTATCGGTCAAGATTTGTCCAGCCAGCCGATTGCGGAGGACGGTCATGCCCGGATCCCACCGAGTTACAAATCTACGAGTGTTCCAACTATGTTGACATAGACTGCGTGGTTAGTATCAAATAAGGGACATTTCGCCCTTCACTATTTACCTCTTAACCCACACATAGATATCTTGTAGAATTCGAAAACACCAATAATGAAAAGAAATATGTCCTTGCCCAACTTTATTTCATTATTCAAACATTTCACTTCGTTTATACATTAAATCATTTTAGAATGTTGGAACAAAATGATGTCAGAAACTCTGAGAAAAAGATATTGTCGATGTAGTGAACATTGTAACACAAGATACCGACCCAGCTTTTCCCTTTAGCTCATTGGGTGAAGCACTAAACTTGAAAGCTCAAGTCCCGGGTTTGATCCTTGGAGGCCTTGGAAAGACTGACTACATTTGCGCCAACATAAGGATTTGGGAATTGTGTACGACAAACGCATTGTCTTTGCTCTGTTAAGAATGGTTGTACTCTGGAAGACTTGAGGATTAGGCCTTTCCATGGAGGGGTAGTATGTCACAGTTATAAACCATCTGGTCACTTTTTCTTAAATCGACTATAAGGAAACAGTCTTCTAGCTCAAGCTATAGCTCAGGGTCTTTTGGTCTGTATCCCATGAGTGGAGGGAATCCTGTCATGGACGCTGGATTCGAGCCTCTAAAGAAGTTTCGAAAACATAGTGAATACACTATTTCATATATCATAACAAGTCTTAAATGTTGTCCGTACTTCCAAACCCATATCTCATATTTAAACATTTTATGTTTTATACTTAAAATAATCAATTTTAAAATTTCAAAATAACAACATACTATATTAACTATATGAGAACTAATATAGACTACGCCTGTTGTTCAATCCTTTTTCTAAATGAAATAAAATTTGTTGAAATGAAATATAGCTCCGGGTTCATCCCCTTGCGGAGGCACAAACAATTCCAAGTTTACAATATATTCTATGAACCCAATGCTTTTATTTTCAGTAGGTCTATTTGCATACGTCAACATGTATTGTAGCAATGTACCTTTTTTTTTTTTTTTTTTTTTTCGTTTTGAGTCATACTTGTGTAAGGGTACCATGGACCTTTACTCCAAACTTACGAAGTATTTCATTTGTAGCACATGTTTATCATCACAAACATAACCGGTTTCCGTTCATTTCTACATTCAACTACTTTAGTACCAGTGAAGGAATGCAGCTTATACCAAGAGTTTAAGGTAGAAATATTTCCCTCTCCTACTTTTAATTAAAATGTGTTATTGACGTTTTGGTGAGATATGGGTTATTACTAACTGGTCGTGTTATTAAATCCACACACAGCAATATAAAGATTTATGATTTTCCAGATAAAGTATATACCCAACAGAGATATAATCGTTCTTATTAAAAGAATTCTGAACAGGAAGCGTTAAGTAGTTGGAATGCCTATGTGTATACCGATGTAAACAAACTACAGTATATTGGAAGGTGTTTATTTAACCTACTTACAAGTGGAACGAGTCATTTTCAGATAGGAACAAAATCTATCTATTCGTGATTATTGCTTTGTGCGTATTGTTCAATAATATTTATCTGTATGAACAGCATCTGGTTCCGTGATGGAATCCTGTGTGTTCATTCCTATATAGAAGGTCTGCTTACTTTCCTATTCTTTCATGTCCCCAATCTAGTTACTGGCAGTAAACCATGTGCTTCAATTTCAGCTAACGATCAAATCTCAGTTCCTGACAGGTTTTTTGTGACATTTTCATTTAGGATAAGATTCAATTGATATTGCTTCTTCCTTGTCCTATCTCATACTCCCTTTATAACATTTTACCTTATTACTTGACATTTCTTTATTTCAGGACATCAAACCTTAATAACTATTTCAAATAAAACTACATTGGTTTAATTAAGTGTGGATGTTATAGGGAAGTAGGGATCAATCACTCCTTTAGAAACCTCCATTCAAAGGACTGTCACCATTTTAACCGTTTAATGTATTTCTGGGTACGACAGATGCAACGTAATTAAACAATAGAAGAAATAATACGACAATGTAACGGAACAACAGGAATATGATGTCTAGATCGGCTTTCTGCGATAGAAAATACAGATCATGATTGCTGATAAACATCGTTTTGGAATAAATGATTGATAATTTGGGAAGGAAAAAGTCATTCCCTATGGTTCTGTTTGCAAAGAAATCTCAACCCTCTGGATGAGATATTTGAATATCTATAACCCTCTGTTTGAAGCAAACCACAGGTCAGACAATCAAGACTACCCCCCTTCGGAATGATATTTCTCTTTCATTACGGTAGAAAACTATTTCATTTAACCATCATCAGGCACCATACCACATTATTCCTCTTCTTAGCACTTCATTCCTTCAAAATCTAGTCGTTTATCACTATTAGGGCTCAAACATACGAGGACCGTATTCTGTCATAAATAATAAATATATTCTGTCACTAGTATCAGGAATCACATAAATGATGTATATAGTTTGACCTTTCTATTACAATCCTTCGAACTATGCCCCCAAGCAGAAACGCACGTTTGTTATCGCACAATCTATGACGCAAACGCTGCGAGATAGTATACCCTTGATAAATTGGCAAGAAATTGGAAGATTGCACTACCAAGAGCACTCCTTGATGCAAATCGTTTCCATGAGAGTACTTTCTTAAGTAAAACCACAGGGACTCAGATATTGTGAATAGGTTTTTATATGTCTTGCGATCTCTGGCCTTCCTTGATTTCTCGACAACCATTGCTTGTTATTAATGCGCCTCTGTGGTTCACAGAAGTAGACCCAGGTCTCATCCCCTGTAAATAACTCAGATAGCTTAGCTTTCTTGAGTCGACTTTCAGTAACGAATATTTATATTGCGAAAAGATGATAGTGGATCTTTAACATTATCCGGCTATGCTTTTGAGACTAATACTTCTTGTTTCTTGGACGATTTCTAGTTCCAATTTTGGCTTCCACAATTGAGATGCATATTCATTTTGTGTAAATATAGGTGATATCTGACCCCCTTAATGCCCCTGTAAAGCTTTTGTCCTGAATACTGATACCCGGAATACTAGATCTTAATATGACATTGAAAGTTTTGTTTACATGTCCTTCACACAGGTTAGTGCATGGTCAGGTTGGACAGACTGCATATTGAACAATGGTCATTGCGGAGAAGGGACAAGGAACCGGACAAGGAGAGCAGTCACAGAAAGTAACTGTAAGGGAAAGCGTTGCCCGATTCTTCTTCAGCACGGGATTTGCACAGGACCGTGTTGCACAATCAACTGTGAGGTCACATCATGGACAGCATGGAGTGCGTGCTCTACGGAATGTGGTGAAGGTATCAGGTAGGAATGCTATGGTACAGAATAGACATGTCTTTGTCCGCCTCAAATAGGATACAGTTTTGTATGATATCACATAATACATGTCTTGATAGGCTTTTGATGATTTTCTTTTCGGTTTTGGTATTTGGTAAGATTTTTGTCCTTATAAATCATAAGATATTTCTAGATACTGCCTCAGATAAAAGCTTCGTGATCAGACATAAAATAAGGCATATCTTATCGGAGAAAACATTTTTTGTCATTATACTACAATAGAAAATATGTCGTATTCTATGAAAAATCATAAAAAAATCGAAAACTCACAACTGAAAAAGACTGATAAGAGTCAATTTACAATGACAGATGTATTTTGTTATGTCATGTATCTTCTATTAAAAAAAGTTCAAAAATACTGATGAAACAATCACTTTATACGAGGTGGGATAAACGCATTGACCTGGCTACCTAGCCAATTGTAGTTAAGAATTTTCTTCTTCAGTTCAAGAACAAGGGAGATATCTGAGCAGCCGATGTGTGATGGGACGTCGTGTCCAGGACTGCTGGAGACAAAACCCTGTCGAGAAGATGCATTAGTCAACTGTTCACTGACAGAGTGGTCAACCTGGTCAGATTGTAGTAACGACTGTGGGGAAGGGTCGGCCTTCCGCTCCCGGACACTACTCACACCAGCCTACTGTGGGGGAGCTCCCTGTCTTCAACTCCCTTTAGACGAGAGTAGGGAATGTACCTCACACAGAGCCAGGCAAGACTGCAAGGTTGGCTTCGTTCGGTGACATGCTACTTTACTACCTTGTCAGTGCGAGTTTATTTTGTCCAAAATATGTCATATCTTTAACTTTTTTCTTGTTAAATCTTTATCGTTCGAGTATTGCTGAAGAAACTAACTTTCGATAATCGTAAGTGTATGTTAAACAATAGTTATACCTGTACGTTGTAATAAAACAATTCAGAATGAGTGATAAACATAAGAGGCTTACGTTATAAGCTATAACATTTAGACCTAGTATTAGAGCTATCTCGTAGTGTTGACATTTACTCACAGCCACATTATTGCATGTATTTCTTACAACTTGTCCCATCGCTATGAAAGAATTCATTCCTTTTATTGTCTCTTAACCTGTTAATTAACATGCAAAACATTTTCTTTCAAAATATTTCCTATAATGAGGAAACAATTCACATGCAATAATGGGATGGAAACCCAAAACTTGTTTCATAAACTATCTAGCCTTTTACCCCCGATACAGGTATCTAACTGGCATGATTGGGAAACTTGTATACGTAACTGTGGTGAAGGGGTTCAGATCCGCAGACGTGTCGTAGAGGTTCCACGGTTATGTGGAGGAGGGGCCTGCTCCGAGACGACGGTAAGTTCTGTTAACCGTAAAGAAATATCAGTGTAAACTTTTGGGAATGAAACGAAACAACTTATTATCTGTATACTATATGCTATTGATTTTGAGCATAATAAGTTTGGAGATAGGACAGATTAAAGAAATATCAGCTACACGTGTCTAGATTGTTACTTCCATGCATGAGATGAAAGAATTTCTTGAAATTCTAAATATTATATCTCTTTCTGTAACAGTCCTTGTTCCCAGTGAGGTAATACGACAATCGGATTTTTGTATTGTTCCTTTGCTCCTCGTTGCAATAACTATATAATATTATCTCATTTATTCTATTAAATCCTGTCATTTTATTCTTTGATTTTTT